TAACATTTATTAACAATTATATGTGATTAAAGAGTGTGTTGCAGTTCCCCACATGCCATTTCCAAATTTGTTGGGTGTCGATGCTTGTTTATTTATTTACGTATTTGTTGTTTGTTGACTCGTATTTTATTTATCTATTTATTCAAGTCTGTGGAAAATCGATATGACTTCTTGACTGATATATTAACCTCGGCATCGCTCTCATCCGTAACTAGGCGTATATCTCATTTACTTCATCGTAGTGTTTACGGTTACCAATTAGCCTAAAAAGTTAGCCGTAAGGCGTATAAATTGATCGATTTTAATTAATAGTAAGTCATAAAAAATACTTAGGTTGGCCAAAATTGTAACCGATAGCCGTAAAAGTCGTAATCCCATTGAGACCCTCATACCTCCGAGTCCAAGGGTTTGATATTATCTCAAATACTGCAGTATACAAAAAACTGTCAAGTTGACAATTTTTCTCCATTTTCACTCTTTGTAGGACTTACAAAGATCCGATTCTGTTGATGCAAAATTGAAATTAAAATCACATGAGGATCCACAACAGGTGTTGCATGATCTCACCCAAAGAAAGTGATTTTAACTAAAAGTTTTATTGTTCTTAATAACAAGATTCTAATGTATTAGTTCATTTTTAGAGATGAGGAGAGGGGGAGGGGAAAAAATGCGTCGCATGTCACACACGCCATGCCATAAACAACGCCATTAGTTCAAAGTACAAGAGTATCTAGTCAAGATGTGTTGGTCACATGGGGTTAATCGTTTGAAAAATTAATCGCGCTTCTGCAAATTTAGCCTGCGTCAGATTTATGCTTGGGCTGCAAACGAAAACAATTCCAATTAAAAGTTTGTTTTCGCCCCAACGTTATTAGAGGGGAGACATCAGAATAAATAGAAAGACTGAAAATTAAAGTGTAATTGTTATTAGTTATGGAATATACGGAAAAATTCCCATTTAACTTTTTGTCTCCGCTCTCTTTGTAGGAATATCAAAGACCAGATTTCTTTAATGTGAATTTGAAATCAGGATCAATTGGGAGTCCAAAACAGGTGATGCGATGATCAAACGATAAACCTACCTATAGGAAATGATATAAACAAAGCAAACGCTTTATTGTTCTAAACAACGAGAAATTAAGTAATTACATCATTTTATGTACCCATAAAAGTTGCAATGAGTCATTGTTTCTCATTGATACATCAATATGACCGCATGGTCACTTTCATTGGAATCAACGATTAAATCATATCGTCAATCTCTTTGGCATGCATCATTTCAAGTTATGGTTACAATCATGTTGAGGTCAGGAATTGAATCCTCTTGGCAAGTCCAACGATATTTTTTTGATACTCTTTCAGTTTGATAAGGAAAAAATTGAAGAAATGAATTTTGGTGAAAGCAAGAGATTTACTCTTCTCCCAGATTGCAATGCCTCACGTATTGCTTTGACATTAACCGTCACAGATGGCAAATACACCGTCCTTGAAAAAGATCTTTCCATTGACTTATCGGTGGGTATTTCTATTTCTATCATTATTAATTTTTTTTAATTTGTTACCAATTGTTAGGATAATGATCAAGATTAACAATAACTTTATCGTGGCTAGGTGAAAGAGTAAAACGCAAAACAGTCTCTCCTGAGGCCTCATTCTATTTGCCAAGCGTTTTGATCCGTTTTCTCTAATAGTCAAAAACCCGTCCTGGTAGCAATACAATACGACTATCAAGGGATAATAGTAGGCCTCGCATATCACCTATATTGATTAAATCTGGCATGCCCAAATCCAGTGTTTCCAAACGAGGGTAAATGCAATTATTGAAGTCTTGAAGAACTCGGAAATATTCCGACCGGCGTTCGAAAGGATGCCCCACTGTTTTTTTTTTTTGCGGGGGAATCTGGATAGGAGAAAATTTTACCTGAACAACGCAAATTGCACTTATTAGAAAGAAGCAGTTGACCTGCCAAAAGAAAATATGAAACTGAAATTCCCCGCCATTACGCGAACTGAAGGGTGGCTGAGTATTTTCGGCAAGCATCTGGAAGGAAGAGGCTAATTTCCCACTGAGCCTCATTTTATCGTCTTATCAGCAAGTCAACATTTAACTTGTCTGGTACATTTACATAACACTGATGATCCGGTTTTGTTATAAATACCAAAAACCCACCAACTTCATACTTTCCCTAAAAGTTGGCTTCGTAACTCACTCGATAATAGTGCCTTCTAGCTTTCGAGTGGCACGAGTTCTTTTCCCCAGCGATAACTCGCCTTGATAAGTTCTTTTTTTTTTCTTTATCTTGTTGTTACTTGTTCTCGTGAATTGAACTATACGCTCATAATATTAGTCCTAGATACTAAAAATGGATATTTGACCGAGCAATATTTTTTCAAAAGGAAGAAAATACAACCTGATTACAAATTGTTAATAATTTTTAGATATGTGCACTCTTAACATGTATTTTCTGTCAATCTAGGTCTCCAGTACAAAACCGAGTGGAGAAAAAATTGCTGTAGAAAATCCGATTGATGACTTACAGGATAGAGAGGGTTAAAGTGAACAAGAGCCACTCTTGCCTTAAAGTTTCTCTCCCACTCTCCCACTCTCCCACTCTCCCACCCCTTTATTCATTGTATCTTAGTTTATGTAATAAAACAAAATGAAAATATTAACCATCGGTGATGTTTGCAGTTGTTGGGTGGAACTTCCTATTTAGATCATATGCTTTTCTCTTATCGTCAACAAGTTTCTTCACAGCGGTTTAGTCTTTGCAATCTTCTATCTCTACTTCTCCTTTGAGTTATGGTTTCATAAAGACATCCTCAAAAACAAAATGCGATTTTAAAAAAAATACAGTTTACCGGACAGCCACTTGATTGAATACTATGACATGTTGTACAAAGCATCATGTGTGACATTGAAGAAATGTAAAATAGTTTCCGTGTTTACATAGCCTGATGTAAACACACGGGAGGTTGAGAGAACACGAAATAAGCATAGGAAACCACGACGCGAAGCGGAGTGGTTTCCAGCTTATCGAGTGTTCTCCCAACCTCCCAAGTGTATACATCAGGCTATGTAAACATGAAAACCATTTTACATTTCATTTATAAAATAACTAATGTAAGAGGAACGAAAACCGTGTTTACATACGCTCGTGTAAAATGGTTTTATGGCCAATCAGAGCGCGCGTATTATTTGAATTATTTTATAAAATCCTCTTTCAATAAGGTTTGCACTCATGTACTGATTTAGTGGGTAACTTAATGGGTTGGAATGGAGCATCGCACTTCAAAACATTTCGAGCATATATATCTTATGCGCCTGCTGGAAAGTTTTGCATAACGAAGAATGGTGACCGAGCCTTGAAAATAAGATTTTCCAACTTCTTTTCCAACAGATTTTCATTTAATCATAACCATTACAATTTCCTCAATGTGAATGGCGCATCAGCTGCTTTTTTGTCATTTTGTACATTTGTAATCTGACAGTTGGCTGTAATCGGACAGTTGAAGCAGCCGATCATCTCAGCTAAATCCACCAATCACAGAATTGATCAAATTGATCACAATAACCATAGCAACAACCACCTATTCTGAACAAAAATAAAAATTAAAAAACTGGGGAATTTCAAAAATGGAGAAATTTTTACTTTAGACACTGTCTCTGCCGATGATGTTTGTCCTAAATGTATTTTTTTTTGTTTTTTAATTTAATTTAATTTTTTCAATTGTAAGGGTTATGATTAATTGGTAACAGGACTTTGTGTCGTCCAATTCTGTCAGCAATCATACTCGCGATTGACAAATCAGACTACAGCTTCGCTGTGGTCCGATCTTGTTCATTACTTGTATGATTACAGACTGAATTGGACTCCACTCAGTCCTATTACCATTATATACAGACGGACCCCAATTTCTGTAATGCAAAAAAAAAAAAAAAATGGATGCTCGAAAAAAAAGTGATAATGATAACAAAAATTAATAAATAAAGTACAGTAAAAGTTCTGGACTGCATTTCACCGTTTGTTTTGATTTGTTACGTATTGACAGACGTGGCTATATAAAAAAATATCTACAGAGAATAACCTGTAGGGTAACGCAAACTGCTTCGAGTTAGCGGGAGATTCGAGGGTTCGAGTTACCAAGGGTAACAGTACAATAAATGCGTGATGGAAATCCAGGGGAAAATCCATTTTGGTTCGTATTAGAGAGGGTTTGAGTTATCGAGAGTCCGGATTACCACAGTGACTAAATCTAGACCCAATTGGTTTCCTGGTTTAATCTCCGTAAGGCCATTTTACAGAAACTTGATAGGTAATCGGTGTGTAGCGAAATATAATGGTTTTGTAGAATAGAAATATCAACTTACCTTGAGCTTTCTTGAAACTAGATAAAGGAAAAACACCTTTCACGAAAAACTGAAGCCAAGAAGTCGATTGTCTGGCAATGGAACACAACGGAGTACTTGGGCACGTACGTTGCTTCTTCTTCGAGTGATAATGGATTACTCGTCCCAAAGCCATTTTTAGAATGAGGAGTGTCGTAAAGCCCAAACCAACGTAATAATAAAAGCCAATCAGAAGAAAGAAAAAACCTTCAAGAGCCAATGAGAACTAAAAGTTAAATCAAGCAAACGCCTAAACGTGCGTGAAAAGGAGGTAACCAAGTCGTTACCGGCCAGTTTAGGTTTGCACCTTATTGCTTGAGATAGTGGCAAGAGTTTGCGGGGCAAAGTACCACAAAACCAAAGCAATCCTGGATTACTTTGTTTTTGGGTCGAAATTTGCTCGAAGATGACTCTTTTGTTTGGAAAATTTTACATCATCAGGAAATTTTCCGGCACGTGTGTGGTTAAAGGTGAATCTTTCATAGAGAGAGGCGGTCGTAAGGGCGCCTAAGACTGATAGAGCCTTTAAAAGAGTTTAAAAAACAGGATTAACAACCATGACCCATCCAATGAGTGGAACTGAAGCTTGCTTTAGATTGTGAGCCTATTCCAAGGAATAATTATTTATTACATATTGGAATATAAATAAATATTTTAACAGTTGCTTGAAATTACTCCGAAATTTTCTAGGAGGGATCTAAGAAAGCACATTACACAAAAGATTGTAAGCCCATTCCAGGGAATAATTATTTCTTTCATCTTAGAATATAAATAAATATTTTAAATGTCGTTAAAAAGTATTATTCCGAAAACGATATAGATTGCTCTTCAATATATTAATTCATCAAAGTTCCTACCTTTTATGTGAGACGACTATAAGACATTTTCAATTCTGTTTGCACGAACCAAATATTTGTGAGAGTGTTAATACTCTGTCAACTTAAGTTTTAGTCTGGCTTAGAGCAAGCAAAAACTTACAATGCCAAAAGAGAAAAACTAACTTTTTGGGTTTTGAGGACTCCCTAATAGGTAGTAAATTTCTCTTGAAGTGGTTAAAGATATCGGATAATTTTTTTACGGAATATTCCCCTACTTTCAAAGGTCAGTCGGGTAATTTTCATTGTTTGACGACGTCTTTCATTCGACAGAATCAGGAATAAGTAATGTCTAACTCGTACTATCTTCAGCTTTGAGAATTAGATGAACTTTGTGGGTGAACTGACCCTCGCTTTATGTACGTAAGTCACCTAGCATTTGGTGAAATGTGTGCCGGAACTTTAAGCACGAAACAGAATTCGAACAGACGATAATGCAACGTACACATGTTGCCATTCTTCTTCTTTGGTGATGAATCCACAGAAGATTGCTAAACCCTCACGTACAAGCTAACGATGATATGGTAAGGTGTATTGTTGCTGTTACCGGCGATGACCTGTTATTTATTTTGGACTAATGGAAAACTTCCCAAACACCGCTTTCACTTTTCATAAATACAAAATTAAATAAAAAAGTATTATGCTCGCTTATAAGTCAAAATGTCAATTGGGATGCATTGATTATTCACGTAATCCTCTGCACGTTTTACGTTTAAAATTCCATTCTCGCTTAGTGAGTCTGATCACTGAGAATATTACTTTTTCTATGCAAAACTCGAGAGAAGGTGGCAATATGTATCTGAACATGACGTAATTCTATCATAATTTTTTCTTAAGTTATTCCAAGCGCTACTCATTGGTAAGAAGTTACTCATATGATATTTCTCATTTAAAAAAAAAATAGCAGTGACATTATTTTAAAACGAAAACTACAACATACACCTCATTACTTTTACTAATGCAAGTTGTGGAAAGGATTTATTTTGTGTTTGTTTCCCAAATTTTTACATGGCAATCGATAGTCGGTCATTTTTTCTGTTATGAGTGAGTTATCCTGGGAGATGTGTTCAATGAGACCAGACTAAGGTTCGCTTTTCTTCGTTAAAAATAGTGGCGTATTGGGCTGATCCTGTAAACAAAAAATAAATTGATGGCAAAATTTAGGTAACTTTACAAAAAGGCAACCTTACGGAGCTTAACTGAACACGGGTTGGGAACCACTCTTCAGTCGTTGGTCTAATCTTATCCAAACCCCACAACAAATTGAAAAAAAAAACTTATTGTCCCCACAACAAAAACAAAAACAAGACAAAAACAAACAAACAAAACCAAACCAAAACAAAACAAAACAAAACAAACAAAGCAAAACAGAACAAAAAAAAATAAACATATATATATATATATATTTATCGCTTTGATGTACCACACGATACTTTTGAAGTTCATTTTCCTATATTTTTTAAGGAAGACAAAACATGTTTTGGATAAAACATCGGCCATCGCCAGTTGTATAATAAGAAAATAATATCTGCTTGCTTTATTTGTTTTAAGTCAGCAGGTGCACTGCCATTGTCGTCAGGGGAATAGCATAGAACGGAATAACAAACCTCTTACCTTTTAAACGCGTGTGTTTCCATCCTAGGGTCAGAAGAGCAATCATGAAGATTAAGGTGTTTATCTCTGTAATGTAATTCAAGTTGTAAATTAATTAGCGCTAGCAATATATTAGCCTACTTGCAACTGGTAGACTTTTTTTTTCCGTTTTATCTGTCACATTATTTTCAAGATTATACATAGGAATACATTGGCGGCTAGTAAACATTTTATTCAACCTATAGCTGAGCCGTAAATCGTCCCAAGTACCTGGTTTTGATAAGTAAAGAAGTGGTAATCTAACTAAGTATGTAACCCAACTTCTGTTCAATAACTTTTCCAAATGCCTTGTTCATTAGACAGAACTCAAATTGTCAGTGAAGATTTCGCCTTAACAGGATATGGCTCGCAAATATTTCTTGGAGTGATATAGTTTTTAATCATATCCTTGTACTCAGTGCTGTTGGCGATGTTATTGTTATCATTGTTGTTATTGTTGTTTTTGTTTTTTTACTAATAGAAAAGAACAGGAATAAAGCGTCGTACCATTTCTCGCATATCGGGTGGTGTTGTTCAGTGTCTGAAGTGCTTTAGATGGTTGGTTGAGTTCTCCTCTTTTTCTCTCCTGTACGATAGAAATATGATAAATAACATGCTTACTTTAATAAATGCCTTTAAGTTTCTTGAAAATCTCCATTTCACATATGTGCCATCTAAGCCATCTTAGCCTAGGACGGAATCTTTCCTCTGTCATAGCAAAATTTTTTCGAAGTTGCTAAGTTATGTACCTGGTAAAATGTTTCTTTTGAAACGCATTTCACTGAAGCTTATGGGTTTTTTTTCACATTCTTGCAGCTAAACATTTTATGGAGTGGTATCGATTTGTGTAACTTGTGTTCGTACGAAGTGACAAGAAAATGACTGAAAGCAAACCTTTATTTATTCTAATCGCGGAGGGCTCGAGCTTCGAACACTTATCGTGCCTTTTGCCTCTCTCTTCAACAACCTTCGCCTGCATCGTCACAAATGCATGCAAATTCCCATATCATAGACCTACATGTTCAAAATATGCCACTAGTTCTGTGTTAGCCTGATCTCTTCCATGCGATGCTGTTATTCCACAAAAGAATGCTTGCTTCGATTTGTTGACGTGTTCGATAATGATTTGGCAATGAGGAAAACCTTTAGAATTTTCAAGCGAGTGCCAGGCATCTTTTGCTGTAATCGTCTGTAATTCAAACATGATAAAAAAAATCAATGTCAGGACAAAATGTGCCACGGGAGAGCATTAGCTAAGGTGAACGCTTTCCGTATTCTGCAATGTTCAGTCTAAGCGGAGATCGAGGGAAAAGAGAATTTGTATCACCTCGTTTTTCAACAAGTGTTTCGGGAGTAAAGCTCAACTTTAGGTCGTCGAGGTACAAATTGGTGTTGTAAAATGAACAATGTGTATACCTGAACTTTGTTTCCTTTGACTTTCCATCCAGGTTCAATGGGGTTGATTTCAATTCTGATTTCTTCGTTACTGTTTGACACAAATAAACCGGCGAGGGTTGTTAACAAGTTGTTTCCTAAACTCTCCTCTTTGTCGCAGACGTTCTATTTGATAGAAAGGAAGAACTATTAAGTTAAATTACATTATTTTGTTTCTAAAATGAAGAAAATAATCCCTTTAGCAGTCTCATGGCATCAGCCCTTGCAACAAGGAGTTGTCGGTGAATGAATTTCCCCAACCTTTAAAAGAAAATGTTTAACCATGGTTTACCTGGCGATTGCCAACCAATAACCATTTATATTCCAAGAAAGAAAAAGGCACTGTAGGAGTGCGTTTGTTGCAGAAAAAAGATAGACTCAAATTTAGACCTCAAGCACGAGTCTGAGGATTTTACCAAATATAATAACAACCGGTCTTACCTCAAAAGCTGTAGTCGAGTCGTCTATGAGATAGACCTTTAATTTCCAGTCCCTTCCTTGGGTTGGCTTTTTTCCAAAGATTGCCATTTTCATTCGTTTCTGGTCTACTGTTCCTGGAATTCCAAAAGCTGCAATTTCAATGTCCTTGTTTAGTTGGGGAAGAGTCACAACGATATCGTTATGTTTCTGTTCTACTTTGGCATCTGGAATAACATCGGTGACTTCTCTCCAATCGCTCGAGTTTGCAGTCTTTCTTTCTTGGTGACTTAATGTGGCTCGACATTGGACACAAATTTTCCATTCGTGTCCACGCGCTACTAGACAACTGTGCTGGATCTCAACGGTAAGAGGAGCAGTGTCGTCCTTGGAGGCTCTGTATATGCTACTGACTTGGTACAAGTGTGATTTCCGAACTTCGGTATTTGCTGAATCTGTTAAACCAAACTGTTTGAAGAATTTATACATGTTCAATGTGGGGCTCATTTTCACAAGATTTTTCTTTTCTCTTTTACGTTTATATGTATCCCTAAATTCATCCACACATTATGATGGCGTAACGAGTCTTGCTGAGGCCCGCTTAGTTGAACCTTGGATGATATTCTCATAATGAGGTCACTTCCGTTCGATATTTTAAATCCACCAAGACGAATGGTTTATTAAAATATAGCATATTATCGCTTAAACTGCGGTGTTATACAGGGATTTCCGGCCATGAGAAAAGCCGTAACAACACACGTGAGAAATAATCGTATTATTTTTTTTTTTTTACGTTTGTTGATATAGCCAATCAGCTGCTTACACGTCACTCGCCTTTGGCGCCTATCGGTCAGGTTGATGAATGAACTGCAAAGCCTTCACTATTCTCAATACAAAGTAGTTTTTCGGAACTTTCTTGAATTATGCCGGCTAAAACACCAAAAAATCCGTATCGCTGGCAGACAATGAGGTTCAAACTTTCCTAGAAGGGGAGGAAAACCAACACACTAAAAGAAAAACCGAAAGTTGCGTATTCGGTGGCTTTGTTGTTAGCATTTCTCTCGGCTGAGACTGAAAATCGACAACTGGAAGATTTGCCACGTGCCGATTTTGGCCGTTTGTCAGAAAGACTTCTGTCGGTAAGGACAAAGTCGATAAATGAGAATTTTGTAAATTGAAAATTACGATTCAATGCATTTTTCTATCTTAAGAGTCAGTGCCAACGCACTCTACGATTCTTATTCGAGGATTGTCGATTCATTTATTTTCATTCATTAATGAAGTAGCTTTTTTGAACGGCTATTTCATTTACATGATAAACAAAATAATACATGGTTGCTTGTAGATATGGAATTTCTCTTCTCGTGTTCAACTGGACATCTCACTTGTGAGCTATCGAGTTAAACACTCGAGGAGAAATTCCATACCTACGCGCGCCCATGTATTATTCTCTATTTAAAACATCTTCGATAGTTTAAGCGCTTAAAAATATTTCATCGTTACCTCCAATCAAGAATTATCGGTAAAGTGAAATGATGGTTATAGCAAATTTTTAGCAGACCGCGTTAAAAAAATTGATTTCATTTGTACATCCGGTCTTTCCTATTATTCTGAGTGAACTATTGCATATCTGACACATTGTGATATTCTCCTTTTTTTCCTTCAGTTTTCATCAAGACTTGTTTACAAATGCCGTTGGAAAATTATATATGCATTCATAAAACATCATTTGTTTTCCACGGTCCAAATTTATTGATAATTTTTTTTCTCTCATACTAGCACATATTGTGCATCCGATAAAAAATAGAAGAAAGAAAGTTTTAATCTTACCATTTCCCATAGAGGACCACTTTGTTTCAACTCCGCAGAGAAGATCGTCTGCGATCTTAAAGTAGTGAATTATCCGTCCGTGCCAATGCAATTTATACTAACGGAGATACCAAAATAGCTGAAAATAGACTTTGTGGTGTAAACATGATTTGGCAAGGGGAAGGTCAAAGTCAATTTCGTCTTGACACGTACCCATTGTTAGATCAGAAACAAATATACCAAACGCTTTGACGGAAACACTTGATATTACCATTTGAAAGAATCGAAATTGAAAAGGGGTTTTCCCTTCGTTTGAGCTGTCACCCACGCGCCGCACGTATTTGTCCTTTGGTTGTCACCTCAGAAACCAAACAATACAAAACTTGCTTGTCTAGGCACATCTATGTGGTTTCCGGTTTCAAAAGAAATGTTATCGAATTTTTACACATGTTCTCAACAAATGACAGAATAACATAGGTTCTGGATCATTGACACTATAAGGCACATTATTTTTAAAGTCTAAACCCGGATTAACTTGGTGTTTCGACAAAATCTTTAAAAATACCTCGAAATGTTTTCGTCTTTTGTTTGTCAGCGGGATTTTTCCCTCCCAAACAAAAATGCGCTTATCAGGTACTTTTAGCGGATATCAATATTGATAACTGTCTGTTATGCAAATCCGTTGGGGATTCCCCCAAGATGTTAAAGTTGATAAAGTTTCGATTGCTCCACTCGTGTCGTTACCCTGTCACGAGCCCATCCGGTTAGAAAATGAGGATAGAAATTCTTAAGAATAGTGCTCAAATTAGAAAACGAAACTTATTTTCCATACGTTAAACAAAAGCTGTCCTTGAAGAGGGGACGAATAGTCACGTGATTCTAAAAAAATATATCAGGCGAAGGCAAGAGAGTAAGAATTCGCCTTAAACTATCTATCTGTTCAAAACGATTTGTCCACTCTGATTAAGTGTGAATATAAGGGGAGAGAATTTATAGAATCAGGCATCAAGAGGATAACTGCAGTATTGAAGCGGACAGACAGAGAACTAAGGACTTTTTCTGAGAGTTTTCAAGTGGTAGGTTCTTTAAGACAATATCGAATGTAACAAAAACACTTTTTATTTGGTTACCTCTGAGCTTGCATAAAAGCGCAGCTTTTGTTAACAACCCGGTTAAATATTCGTTGAGTACTGATTTTAGTTTATATTTATTTAAACCTATTTGGATTCCATGCCAGCTGTATTATCCATCTGTGAGTGCTTCCTTAATTCCATATAGAGTCCATGCGTTGCTTCGCGTTTTAAAAAAAAATTTCATTCAAACAAATAGATACTATTCCATTAAGTCACGCTATTTAAATGGCTGAAAAAGCTCGGTCGTTTATAAACGTAAACCAGATAACACATATTCATAGACTTTTACCCTTTTGATGGATTTTAAGAGCACAGTTGGAGAGTTCGCATTTAAAGCGGCGTGATAATTCAGGCCATGTGACGGGTTGGTTCTCTTAATTTTGGAACGTATTTTAAAACCGGGAATCGAAAGTGCTGTGTCATCGAAAACAAAAAAAGCATTGGCACGTGGAGGAACTCAAGGGGATTACCCTTGACAATGCCAGCTCAGTATAAAAGAAAAAAAAACAAACAAAAAAAACCTGGATCATATTCTATTCATCTGTGCCTCTGCTAAGAGAGAAGAATCGGAGTGGAATAGAATAACGGTCAGCTCTCCTTTATGGGAGAGAAAGTAAATCGTCGAAAGAAAGCGTGAGCGTAATTTATAGGCCGGTCAATCAACATCCTATACAGCAAAGCTCCTAGTAGGGATCACCGCTTTCGTTAAATCGTGAACTCTCTTTGTAGTAACAGGTGACTACTTATACTCTAATTTTCTTAACTTATTCTGCGCAATCCACTGATGCCTGCCATCGATCAAGATCTTTCGCTTGTGGCTAAGGTATTTTGTACCGTAAAGCACTACGTCTGATACCGTACAGTGCATTTTGGTGTCTAGAAATTGTAGAATCAATCGGAAGTGCGAAAAGCGAAAAGGCCTGTCGCTGATTTGTCACAAACAAGCTTTAACATCGCGTGAGCAGGTTATTCGGTTTGCGTTTTGAAAGGGTTTTTATCGAAATCAATGATATGTATTTCAATGTCACGCGCATAACACTGATTGTTAAGTACCCGTCACGCAATTTTAAGCCTCGAAAAAGTGCAGAAGATACAGTTTTGTTCTCTAATTATTTTTTAAATTTCTGACCTTGTTTTTTTTTTTTCCGATGGTTATTTTGGTTGCATGCTTTATGAGTTTCACAATTCGCCGGTGAAAGAGACGAAAAATGATCGAGGTTTTGCATCTTATCGCTCCGGGTTACATTTCACCGAAAAGGAAATCGAAAGTGCAGTGTTTCAAAACACAGAAGGGAAAACCTTCTTTCTGTGACCCATGTAACTAAAAACACTTCAAAGGTCACAATAACAATAAATAGAAAACGAAAATGACAGAAATAAGATAAAAATAGGTGAAAACAGTTTGACGTAAGAGAGCAAAAAGGGTGCTAGGGGATTCCCCGTGCAACTCAATGGCGAAATGAAACCATTGTAGTTGTGTTCGAACTCTTCCTTACGATTTATCAGCTGTATTTACCTGAGGGAAGGATAGGACATTTTAAACTCATCTTGACACTAAAGTCAACATTCAAACTGCCCAGCCAAAAAAGAACTTTGAGCCAGCGAAATCAGAAAAGATCGAGACGAAATCAAATCATCACAAAAGCGTATGAGGTCAGTAAATCTGTTTATCACTCGGTTTATGCTATCTAAATTTACTAATGATGAGATTCGAAGAAAGTTGATATCACGCTGGTGACTAGCCTGTGTTAATTTCATCTCGAACACAAAGCGATTTGTGGTGAGATATGGCTGATCTTTCAAGTTTCATCCGGGGGCTGGTGTGTTATTCTAATCTCTTACATTGTTGCTCATTAAAATTCGAAACTGCTTGGCTTTTGTATGTTCCAAACAGGCAGATACTGCCTATTCCCCAGTTGTTGTAGGTAATTTTTACGGGAAGTTCTCCATCGATTATTTTAAAAGGACGAAGGGAAAATTCGAGCGTAACAAGGGAGGGAAATGAGACGGGGAAGAGGAGACGATCACCCCTTCCCCCCACCCCGCTTCGCTGTTTGCAACTTTGCACTCGGTCCAGCTCGGTCCAGGCTTCCTCGTTCAAGTGATCCAACATGGCTGACTAAGGGTGCGCATTAGCACAAATAGTTCACAATTATTTCATTTAATTTGGCCAAAATTAGCGGTTAATTCTCTTAGCTCTACCTTGTTTACAAGAGCGTCTCAATAAAATAGTTTCCTTCCTTCCTCCAACAGGGAAATGGATGAAGACGAGCCGGTCGCTAAAAGAGCATGCTTGGGTTGTGAGGATGACTACATTATGGATATGTACAGCCTCGTACAGCCAGGACAACAGAGCCAGCTTTACCTCTATCTAACCAAAAGTGGAGGCCAGAGCAGAAAAACCTTCCTACAGGTATCAGTAAAAAAGCATCTTGTTCTGTTGTCTTCTCCGAAGAAATGCTGTACCATCAGTCACTTCTCTCTAATTACATAGAACTTATCGAACAAATACTTGAGCTAAACATAGCTTTGATATCAGTTGAGAGCCTTTAAAGAATTCCTGTACATGGCTGAATCATCTTACCATCTTTGAACTGATTTGAAATCCAACTTTATGACGACAACCTAGGGAAGCTGTGGCGAGTTTTCCTGTGTCTGTCTGGTTTTGTTTTGTCTGTTTGTCTTTGTCTCTGCAGGTAATTTAGTGCTAGCAACTGAGTTGAAAACGTCAATTGGCCACCGTTAAGGGTGAAAAAAAAACTGACGTTTCGAGCGTTAGCCCTTTGTCATCGCTCTGACGAAGGGCTAACGCTCGAAACGTTAGCTTTTTTACCCTTAACGGTGGCCAATTTACGTTTTCAACTCAGTTGTTAACATTAAATTACCTGCTATACTCTCCCACCGACGCAGTTTCTTCTCAGAAACTTACCCCCTTTATTCATTTGTCTCTGTTTTATTTTGCTCTTTTGAAGATGGATAATGAATGAAGAGCACAACATTGCTCTCAGACCTGAAAAACTACTCTCGCGTTTGGCTTTGTCACGGTTGTATGTAAAGTAATTTGGAAATTTAGCAGCGCATGAAAATAACCATTCTTCTCGTTATAAATTTATTGATTCTTCCCACTTGCTCTTCGTGCTAAATATCGAAATTTTTAGGATAATTTAAATTTAGGTCGCATCTGAGTTTAAAGGACAGAAAGAAATAACAAGTAAGTGATGTCCTGGTTTTATTTTCAGGAAGAACAATCTCGACTTGGCATGATGAGGGTCCATGTTGACGGATTCTGTATGAAAGAGAAAGAAGCGCGGTCTATAATTGCTGAGTTGAAAACGGGTGATTTTGGAGCAGTTAAACGGGTAAGAATCATGGGAACATGAGGGGCTGGATTCTGTTAGCTTCATTTCAGTTTGGTGAGTTACAACTTGCGTGGAAGACAGTTAGATTGCCAACTTAAAAAAATGAGGTTACTCGGCTGCACATCTGGCTAAAAACGAAATGACAAGAATCAATTTCGAGGTTTTAGTTAGAATTTAAGAGCAAACAAATTAAGGGTTATTTGCATCTATGTACATAATAAGCTTTTGTAGGGTTAGAGTTTTAGTGGAATCTGTATGCTATCCCTGCAGATTATGAGATCATTACTTGTTCACTTCGTGGGTGATCCTTCAAAAGAAGTTTGGGTTTGTAGTCAGAGAATATCACTTTGCTTGACTTTCAATTGTTTTTGTATATGTTGACTCAGATCGAAAGAATAAAGATCGACCAGTTTACACTGCCAGAGAAGTTAACTTACACACTTCCGCATGGCCGCGTAGCCTCGCTGAAGATAAGTGTAAAACTGACCAGCGAAAGGGATGAGCTGCTCCTCGAAACGGAGCAGTTAGAGGTAAACCTACCTTCGGTGAGTGGTGTGATATTCAAAAACAATAATGAAATGATAACGTGCGTAATTAATCTATGAAGAATCAAGCTCTGAATTAAATTATAATTATGACATCTTTTGGTGGCATAGTTTTATCTATTTAGAATAACAAAATTGACCCGCAATGAATAAGTGGTAATTCGGCAGGAAAAACTTCCCGCGACAAATTTATCGCTAAAATTCAATGAAAAGCGCCGAACCTAAAAATTGTTCAAACAACAACAAAATTGCAAACATACTTTGCTGGGAAATGAGCTAAAAAGAAACAGTGCCCGCATGGCTGTTCATTCAAAGGATAGTGATGTAGTAAAGAAGCTGCAGTTTAACGTTGGTATCATAACTTACCTTCTCCGTTATCTTTCTCATATCTTGCCATCTTAAGAAGATTAGGTTTCTCATTGACAAAAAAATTTAAATTTGTGAAAAAAATATTTCCTCTGTAGACTCATTTGATTGAGACGAAACCAGCGGTGGAGCATGGCAACAATCCTGAGTAAAGGGAGGGACAGAAGTTCTATTGGAGTGGCGGAGAGGCGCGTGACGTTTAGTTCGAGACGGCGCGAGTTGCTGCGATTAAACGCACTACATTGGTCGCCTGAGGTGGCGGTCCGGACTGAGCCTGTCCAGGGTCGTGAGACCGTGATGTACCGTGGTTGGCGCAAGTGTGGAGCCGTATGTTGACGGCTAAGACGGCAGAAGACGCTTATTAGCCTTGTAAACATGTAAATATCGTATTGATATTGAATGAAATACAGTACAGGCGTAATGTGCGACGTATACCGTCTATCTATACTCTCTAGATTTGTAAGAACTGATGCAAATATAGCAACTAATTATGTTATTTGTGAATGCTACCGTTAAATAAAGAAAAGTAGTTATGCCAAGCTTGAGTTTCATTTATTACTTACTGGGGGAAGAAGGGGGGGGGGGGTTAAACTTGAATGTACAGATACTCAGAGGCAATAAGTCGAATGGTTCCGCGGGGAAAGTTCACGATTATTTTAAAAGTTTTTAATCTGAAATTACTCAAGTCACGAAAGCGAGTCCACATCTTCTTGGCTCAACACCTCTCGAGTTTTAAAACTGGAAACATGTACTCAATCATAGATAGAAAAATAAAAATTGGTTTGAATACGAATTTAGATACAGTTGAACAAGGATAACTCAAGCCCTCGTTAACTCGAATTCCCCGCTAACTCAAAGCAAAACTGATTTCCCTTGGATTTCTGCTTCCCTTCAGGTACTTTTCTTTGTAAATTTACCCTTGATAACTCGAAGTCGATTTTCACTTTTGCGGGCTAATGAGCTATAATATTTTGCACCGGAAAACTATTTTTCAAATCAATCATGGGAATAGATTTTTCAACAAATGTTAAAATGAGATTTAGCGCTAAACATTCTGAAGAGTAACATAGTACTTGTGGTTTTCATGCTTTTGTTTTCTATTGTTTTGTTTTGTCGTTTTTATACCCTTACATTGTTAGAAATCTTCCAATGAAATTTGTATAACCATAAAACTTCTTATACCAAGTGTTTCTGGTCTTGCTCTAAACCCTTACAACTCGAAACCCCGTTAACTTGAAGTAATTTCAGTTGGCAATTCGAGTTAACGGGGTTCAACTGTAAATAATTTGTAGAGATAAAATGAGGCGGTAAATTGAAAAAAAATAATAACAAAAAACAAACAAACAAAAAAGAAAAAGGAAGAAAAACATAGAAGAGAGTTGTCAAACAAAAGTCAAACAAGAAAACTTTCAACGGCTGGAAATCTTTTGCTTTTAATTGACTGCCTATAAAATTCTGACATATTTAAATGTGGTATTAGGCTTGGTCCCTAAAATTGGCAGAAAAAGAAAATTAACCACTGCGTTTTAATTTGCCTCGATGCATTCCATATCTAAGTTTTTTTTAGCTATGTTTCCAGCTTGGCAAAGATAAATTCAAAGCAGTTTAGATCCGTCCTTTTTGCCATTTAATTGGATGCCTTTTTTTGTTATCTTTAGAGATTCGTGAGCGTGTCTAGACGGTGGAAATCATAATGTTAATACAAAGCTGCGAGGCTTGGTAGGAAGCTGTACAACGACAATCCGTTCCAGAGACTTCATCCAGTAGCATTAAATTCTGATGACATAAATAAATGAATGGACGAATAAATGAGGGAATTAATGAATGAATGTATCGATTATTAAATGAAACATTCCTCAACAAAAGGCTTATCAGCTTGATAATTTTCACTTCTAACTAACGAAGCTGCTGATAGATTTTTAGCCAAACAACTCCTATCTATTAAACAGCAGAAATCTTTTAGTATTCATGACCATGCATCCTATGATCACAATGTAGGCTTGGCTCTCATAAAGTCTGGCGAGAGCTATTCAATTTGAATAAATCCCCTTCTTCTCCTTAACCCCAAGGATAACTAAAAGACATTGACTTAATATGATTGGGGGACCTATAGGTAAAATTGACCTGGAAAGCATAATGATACAATTTTGTACAATCATAAAAAGAGAATAAATATGTCTAACCTTTTTAACAGTTCATCTTCAGCGTGTTCTTGAACTTCTTTTCAGTTGGGTTGTTGATCTTGGCATCACTTTTCTGTAGAATGAAGTAGGGAGATTTGATAAATCGCTTATCTAGTATTAGCTTTTATATTAGCTGACATTTGCTGTTGCAAAACTTATTCCTTATCAGTTTTTCTGCCTCTCTTTTTTTATCATTTTTTCCCCTTGTTTAGTCTTTGTTTTTGTTTTGTTTTTGAATCACATTTCTTCCAAACGAGTTGTTTTCACTTGCAAGTAAACTAGGAAATAACTTAATCTCACTTTTTGAGATCGATGTTCAACAATTTCTCAATTCTTCTCTTACTGTCGTTATCTAGCCAGTAATTTAAACTTTGGCTTCTTCTTTGTAAATTGCTTCGTGAAGTCGATAGCATTACGATAACCGTGAAGATACAACTTGAATAAAGTAAAGATTATGATGAGTTTATTTACCTGTTGGAAAAAGGCCACAATCTCGTTGCCAGCACTGTCGTTTTCGTGTGTTGCTCTCATTTTACAGAAGAACTGCTGTTCTTTTAAATCATCGTGACTCACAGAAAAATCACAACGGGGAAAATCTGTCGCATTTTCTTGGGAATTCCAGGCACTTCTTGAAGCTATCGTCTAAGGAATTATATGAAAGTTCAGAATCTTGGAATCAGAGCCCTAAAATTAATGCTTTGGTAGGCACTAACTGCTGCTGAAGGGCGTGTTTTACCATCAAAACAACTCTTATTTCTAGTGTCAGATATCTTTGAAAGTCATACTATCCAACAACACACCCGCCCTCTATAGAGTAACTTACTTTCTTATAGTCCCCTATGATGTGCCACCCTGAAGCCACGGCAGTAACCTCTATGCTGATATCTTTCTCACTGTTGGATACAAACAAGCTGGACAGTGTTGTCAAAAGTTTCATTTCTTCATCTTCTCCTTTCTTGCAAATCTGCTGTAAATTGAATAAAAGGGAAAAGGTTAACAGTCTCAACAGACAAAGTAAACAAAGAAACAAGTCAAACAAACATGTACAAAAACTATTAAACCAACTTATTCCAGCAAAGAGCAAGCTAAATTAGGAGAAAAATGCTGGAAAAATTGAGATAATAATCTTTCTTTTCTTCTTATTTAGTTTCTCTTCTTTTTTTTTTCCTTTTTTTGACTTAACCTTTAATCCTATTAAAAAAATAAAAAAATAAAAATTGGTAGAATGCAGATCAGGAGTAAATGTGTTACCTTGAACGCCATTTCGGAGTCATCTATCAGATAAACTCTGATATCCCAGTCACAGGCTTTGGTTGGCTCCTTCCCAAAGATCACCATTTGCATTCGCTTCTGGTCATCTTTTCCTGGAATTCCAAAGGCTGCCACTTCGAGACTTTGTCCAAGCACTGGCAACGTCAGCCGGGTGTCGTTATGTTTTGTCTCCACCTTGGCATCAGGATACACTTCTTTAATATTTCGCCACTTTTTACTTTTCTTACTTTGATTGAAATGTGGCCGGCATTTAACAGAAATATCCCAGTCGTTCCCCCAACCATCAAACAGCAGTGTTCCATCAAAACGGGCTGCGGAGGAATGCGCCCATTTTGAATTATTACGTAACGGCCACTTACCATCACTGCTGTCAAAGATAAAGAGATAATATCAGTCCAAAAAACAACGAAAACAACACTAAAGAAAAAGGTAAGGAGATGAATGATTAACTGAATTTAAAACGGCCAGATGAACAAGTAAAGAGATGAAAGTGTAAGTAGATTGATAGATCAATATATGATACGATAGATAGATTGTTTACTCGATGATAATGATAACGATGATGACAGTGACGATGATAGTAATAATGGCAGTGATAATGATAACGATGAAGATGGTGACGGTTGACAAACAAACAAATGAACAAAACAACAAAACAACAACAGAAAAAACACCCTGCACTGCGTCAGCGGAAATACAAATAAACAAAACAAAGGATCGGAAGTGTTCGCTGCAAAGTTTTGCTGAACTGAAAAAAATTTCCTCATAAAGGTTAAAATTATTTCATGTGTTTAGAGCTACAGATAAATTGGAGATAACTCCATCTATATTTTCAATATATTTTCAGTTTCGGGCGATACATCGTTGAGATATATGCAGCATCTTTTGTCATTTGCAAGGTACAGTGTAATTGTTGTGTCAGTGTCTCTAGATTTATGCCTCAGTTGATAATACGTGCATCGTCTTACCTGGATGCATTCTTGTTGCTGGGCCGGATTTTTGCTTTTTCTCGGGCTTTACATGATTTCAACACCACAAACATCTCTCTCCCTCTTTGTGCTGCTTGATTTGTGCCAAATGGGAGGAATTTGACCAGTAGGTGTCGCCAATATATTTATGAAAATGCAAAATGAAAATGGAAAGGGGCTTTCCCTAAATTAATAAAACATTCGATTACATAGCATATTTTCGCGAAAACAGTGATAAAAACAAAAACAAATGGGCATTTAACGTTGCCAAGATTGCCTAACGAAGTCGGCTTCGGTGTCCATTTGAGCTCTGAAGGTGCATTTAGTAAAAAACGAAAGGCAAATGTCTACATAACAAATGAAAACAAAGACCACGAATTACACGAAATTTAAGCATGTCACCAGCCGTCACGGAGTCGCCCTCTGCGGGTGTTCAAAAATAGCCAAAAGATAAAACTGAATTTCTTATAAGATTTTATTATCTCAAACTTACTCTCTTTTCCCATGTTGTACTACAAATATCGAGTCTAGCAAAAGCACCAAAGTAAAGCACATTATTTGAAACAGGACTTACATAAATACATCACATAAATAAATCGAAAACAATAACAAAAGCCCGGGGTTTTTCCCTCGCAAACAGAAAATGCAATAAAGCACATTTTTACCACTTAGGAAATCATCCGAATCACGAGATCTGATAAACAAAATTTCGGAAATGCTTAGGAAAGGGCTTTCGATATTAGTTAAGCCACGTCCATCGGGCATAAATCGAGAAACGCTTATAAAGCAATTTTTAAAAATGTCTTCCAAGATAAGCTATTTCGCCAAAGCCACAGTCTCTAGATTGTTTACTGTATTCAAAAACAAAACAGGAAAAATATTCTCAATCATTCGGTCTCGACAAATAATAATAATAATCAAAGTGCTCTGTGAGCAAACTCGTGAATTGACACATGATTTTTTAGATTATGTTTAATGTTATCTGGTTTAGGGAATTTTGTGGTTGATTGTCATATCTAGAGTACGAGCAGTAGTTCAGTGTTCGCTAATGTAGCAAAGAAACAAAGTAACGTTGGGATAAGAAGGCATTACCATTGAAATGATCATGCTATTACATTTGACAAGGTGGATGATGTCATATGTTTCTGGTTTAAGAGAAAAGGTTGGAAGTAAATGTGGGTGAAAAGTGAGATTTGCTGTCTTTCGTTGTAAATATTAGAAAATCAAGGCAATACTGTCTTAATGAAAACATTAAAGATTCCCTCTTTATCAAAAGAGACAAACGGGAACGAGTTTTGAGTGATATAACTAAGTCAAGCCTGCCACCGTCATTTTGGATCTCCGCCTGGGTAGATTTAAGTCACGTGCTAGGCAACGTATAATCAATAACAAGATAGAATTTCATTTCAGGCCTATTTACCAATTTTGTGGTGTGTAACTTTCGCATTTTAGTACGTTGTATGTACGTTGAATCTTCAAATTGTCTTGAAACTTAAAAGAAAATTGTTCTTTAAAAATTCACTGAAAATCGGTAGCTAAAATTGTTTGTTTAGGTGTTATTTGATTTTCGTGTTAACTTGTTATTTCGTCAGTCGCCGGCATCTTCTGTTGCTTCACACAGGAAAAACACACGCGACGAAACGTAATGATCAATTTTGTCCTCAATCTCACGCTATAACAGAAAAAGCTTTTGAACATCTATAAACTCCGAGCGCTTCGCAGTAAGTGATATTTTCAATGAATCTTTGGATTGTTTTCAAGTTCAAGGATTGTAAATTACAATTTTATGAAAAACGAAGGTTGTTCTGTTATTTCAGTGTGAATCCTTGCATGCCTGCCAGTCGCTGGCGCCGCTTGTTGAAACTAAAACGTAAAAAAAAAACTCTTTTAAGATTATAATTGGCTTCTTTTTCACCCCACCACTATTCTTAGCAACAAAGGTCGCCATTTCGTCTGTTTATTGCTTGCCAAAAACTATCAAATGCACTCAAAAGCCTAAAATCTAAAAAAAGTTTACAGGAATCGACCAATCGAGCGAGCGAGCGAGCGAGCGAGCGAGCGAATGCCATTCCCCACATCGTACCTATAACTCGCTCTTGCGCATGCGCGCAATTCACGAGTTAAAAAGGAGAAACTTGATTGTCGAAGGGAGTATTTTCAAATCGGAAGTACATATAGGGACATTCTCCCGTGCCTTAGGAAAGAAAGAAATACCTTCATCGATGTTTGTCTAATGACACAGAATAAAGAAGAAGTCGTCGCCACGAAATGAAAATGCAAAATGAAAATGGTAAGGGGCTTTCCCTGAATTAATAAAACATTCGATTACATAGCATATTGTTGTCTAATATTGAAGCTCATCGAAGGAAACGTTATAACTGGATCAAATTGCTATCGGCTGCGAATCAAAGATTCAGCTCATAGGGCCAAAGTGTAACTTACTGCAGCCAACAAAGATTCATTCGGATTCGAACTCATCTAAATCATCTTGGTTTCGGAAAGGCTAAGGGTAAGAATCACCTAAGGCACTAATTTACAAGTATCTAATTCTATTTGATAGGTTGTTATGATAGAAATATCAAGCATGCATCTCGTGTGATCGTGATAACGCATAACGCTGAGACAACATCCCTTGTTTCCATTCATTAAATAGAAAGTGAAAATGCTTTTCGTGGGATTTTTTTTTTTTTGTAGGGGAAACCCCTTAATGTCAAGTGATTTCGAATGTTGTGAACATACTAAAAGCTTTTCGTGACAAAATTTTTTAGCTGGGGTCCACTGCATTTCTTGTTCATTAGGAAGAAGGATTTATCCCTTCCCCTCCCTATCAGAGGCTATCTAACAGACAGAGAAGAGAGCATCCCCTATACTGAAGAGACGACCATTATCAGTATTTATTCGTGAGTTTTTGTACTGGATTGAAAAGTACAGACGGGGTTTCGTTTCGAATATCGGAATATATACAAAGGTAACTACTCTATTCGTGTAAGGCAATATTTACACATACAAACACATGTGGCCTCTCCGAAAATAAATATGTAAATCCTGATCTAACACACGTTTGAATCACCACAGAGAATGTAGTTCCGACTATCCTATGTAATGTTAGTTTTCATTTTGGAATTTTAATTCGTACACAATACTATATGGACGAGAACTGCCAGATTAAAGCTACACAATATTATTGCTGTTGGACTCTTTCAAAGAGCTCGGTAATTTTAAGAATATTTGTCACATTACCAGTAATTTTGACAACATCGGTGCAACATGGAAACGCAGACTAAAAATATATACCCTAGTCCTTTTTTCAAATATATTCTTTAACCCTTTTTTGTGTTTATTCCCACTTTTTTTCTTTTTTTAAGGCTACAGTTTACACTATAGAAGTAACGTTAAACCGTCGCGCACAGAATTACGATGTCTGATAACGTTCCACTGCGCGACCAAGAGTCTTGCGTCGATGACGATTATTACATGATCGATGTTTTCACTTATGCACGACCGGCGACAAATGGCGAGACAAGATCACTGCACCAACTGGTTATGTACATCACCAGGGCCTTGGAGGATTCTGGCCGCCTTGATATTCTACGAGTAAGTGCTGGTACTTTAGCGCAGTCAGCCACTTAGTCGGCCATTTTGGTAGCTAGCAAGTCTGTAAATAGGTCAGCAAGTCAGTTAGTCAGTCAATCAGTCATTCTAAAAATTGGTAGGTCAGTCAGTTTTATATTGGTCTGATAAGATTAAGTACAGCCTGGAACAGACTAACCCAACTAATTCCCCCTTAAAATCGTTTTCTTTTCACTCGTTCCAGGCTTACTTCGATCTTGTCAATCCAATATGGCGGATCCATAGTCGTCTAGAATATTTGGCATTTACTCGTTAGAAAAAGGTACCTCCTGTGCTCAGATTTATGCTATATCACTCGGAAAGTCAACAGGCAGAATGTCTATAAATAATCAATCAGCCAGTCAGCTAAACCTGTTATTACTATAGTTAGATAACTCTTTGATCGATCATTTTTAGGAAATAAATTAGTCTAAAGCTGCAGTTAAAGCGACCCCTTAGCAAGTGTCCATGGATCTAAACTCGTGCCCTGCGACTACAACATGCATCAGCATATCAACTCTCCATTTGTTATGAACTGTTCATAGGAGAAGCAGCGTGACCAAAACATGATGAAGATATACTCAAACAGTTTCCGATGGAAGAAGACCCAAGGGGAAAACATTATAGCACAATTGTTCTTAGGAGGCTTTCAAGCTGACGGAAATGTAATGAATCCCAATCATATATATATATATATTTTTTTTTTTTTGCTTTTTTTGAGGGTTAATCTATTTCATTGCTAAGTTCAGATCTAGTACCACCGGACAAATTGGTTGATGGCCATATCTTTAAATAGAAACCTTAATGACAATGCATCATCACAATTTATCCTTTGCTATCTCAGTAGCCTTCTTCAAAGTCCTTTCTCTAAGGCTATGATCAAAAACTGCTCATCTATTGGCTTTGGAGGTATTTATGTTGGTTTAAACTTCTTTCAGAAAACGATCATTGTTGCGGTTCAATCTGTAATAGATCAACAAAGTGTGTAACTAATCATTAATTATTTTCCAGATTGAAAGAAAGAAGGTCGACCATATGAAACTGGCAGAGAATGTCGTCTTCACCTTGCCAGTCAGTGACGCCTCCAAAATGAAAGTGAAAGGGAACTTATTGAATGAAGATGGAAAGATGATCTTGGAGATAGGGGATATGAACGTGAACCTTTTCAAGGTGAGTTACTAATATTCAAACCAATTTTGTATGAAGCATTTCTCAAATGATAGCCCCTGTGCATATCTAACTGCCCAGAAAATCCAGTGTTGCCCCTCTAGATCCTTAATGGTGAAAATTTAAAGGCCGAGTATTTCCAGAGAAATTAAACAAAGAATAATCACACGAAGGCATCAAGAAAGTAGCAGATGTTCCAGGAAAATGTTGTGAAATGTGGCTAAGGGGTTGAGATTCAACAAGCTACGTAGTCATGCTTTATTAAGGAATGATTCTAGATGATTTTTATTGCATTCACTAAAGGTACGATTGTATGATTTAAGACAAGAACCACTTAAATTTTCCAAGATGGTTCAAGCTCTCATTTCAATTACTTTTAGTAGAGCAGGGAATTTCACTCTTTCACCAGATGCTTAGGTTTTGTGGCTGTGTGTAATTTCTAGCTCTACCAGCAACACAGTGTGCTCATTATTTTAACACCAACTTTGTTTCAGTTTCAAGGCGGTGAAACACGAGCTGGGATAGAGCACGAGCATAGTGGCAATGAGACAGTTGAACAAGATGTAGCCACATGATGCCAAGTCTAACTAGTCTATAGTAAGTTTTTTTTCTTTTGTAGAGTAGATTTGCATAAGTAGAGGTTATCACTTCATTTTATATGAGGGGACTTCCTCTAATATAGCGATCAAAATCTTTTTCTGTTATTTTGTCTTACTTTATATTCCTTTTTTACATGCTAGAAACCATATTTAGCACTTTTTAAGCCCTAATTGCTACTTCGAACAGTTTTGCTTGTGCTTTTAGAGGGCGGGACCTGAAACCTACAGAGATCTAAATTTACAGGTTTGAGATGAAAGTGCTGAGTTTGGTTTGTTAAACATATAGGAACCTATATCAGGATTATATATATATATGTAATGAGCTTTGCTTTAGAGAGAGAATGGCAAAATCGTTGAGATTCAGCCCTACCCATTCTCAGCTAATATGGAAAGTTGAATTCGTACCCGTAAAGGTTTTCTCTTCAAGAATTTGTCGAGAAGATAAGTCGGTTTGCTTTTCGTGATTTTTTTTCTAGCTTTTTGTTATTCGTAGAGCTAAAATTGAGCTGTCCTAGGGACGAGAGTAAAATAGTCGATATTGACTAAGCATATGGACTGACTAGGTAAGTAAAAACTTTGAGCGACATAATTCCCTCTTGCTCGTTACTTCAGTTGAAATTGAATAAGGAGGATAATCTTCATGTTATAAATTAAATATTGCTTTTGAATGTAATCAATCCAGTGTTCCGGGAAAGGAGAACAGTGACCATGTGGACCTACCTATGAAACGATATAAGAAGACCTTTGCACCTGGAGGGCAGCAAAAATGAGTTCAGTTGACGAACTGATCTATAATTGGAAGTCGTTGCTGACGCCACTCAGTCAAATAATTCAGTCAACAATCAATTTAAATCAGAGATGAGGTTGTCACGTGGTTGTATCGTTGAGTAATTTTCCTTTTTATGATATTTAATTTTCGAGTTGTAATAAAATTTTCCTTTTTTGGAAGGGAAATGAACAACGGTAGATGTACATAGCAATTTTTGTGTGTAAATTAGAGGCTTCAAAAAATTATGTCACTTGAGTAAATCAGAAAAAAGCACCATGTTACAAATGTGTTTCAAGGAGAAAATGATAATTTGCTTATATCAGCTGGGTTGATAACGTAAATTGGCCACCGTAAAGAGTTTCTATAGATGACGTTTCGAGCGTTAGCCCTTCGTTAGGGCGAAAAACTTTTATATGAATATCTTCCGTTTGGATTTGGTTAATTTGGCTAAGCAGATGAAAGCTTTTGCATGCCATTTCCAAAGGTTCAAAAGTGTACTTTGAGATGAATGCTAAACAAAGAAAGTACCTGAACCTTCCAAAAATTTTTCGCAAAGCAAGAGCATTAAAAAAAAAAAAAACCTTTAAAAATTTTGTGCGGGGGAAATAAACATGCTACGGCATGAATTGGTTATGTTTCCCCATGCGATTGAAATTGATCACAAATGGATTTGGAATATATTTTAACTAGTGGATGATGACACATTTGCAGTCGCTGGTAAACTGAGTTTGATACCACGTACGGTAAAGGCACCTGTAAGAAATTCTTCTTGAGCTGTTCTTGTAGGCTTACAGATACCGGTTGTGTCCTTCTAACAAATAAGCAACGAAGCAGCTTGGTAGGAGCAGAATAATAATGCGACAGAAAGAACAAACAAACACATAGAAAAACGAAAAACAAAATAAAAACACAAAAACAACAAAAAAACAAAACAAAAAAAAAAAAAACAAAAAAAAAAAAAAAAAAAAAAAAGAAGTAGAACCGAAATATAATACTCGAATTCCTGAGAGAAAACCACGATCTACTTTGAAATAGCTTTGAGACAGATTTCTGAGTTATTGAGTGCGATAGATCGTTTTGTTGGAAATGTGAATCAGTACTAGCATGAGAAAATTCCTCAATGGACCGTGTTAGTTGAGAATGGGCGCATCGCATAGGTTTAGGCTAAAGAGGTTAAAAATCTGTTCTACAGGTATTTTCTTTTTAACTTTAAGTTATCAATATTAGTTCAGTATCCATACATATATATAAAATGCTCTTGAAATGAATATTCATTTTTTTTAAATTTAAAACGCTTGAACTTAGCTTCTGATGGCAGGATTCCCCTTTTGGGGTTTTTCATCTATTAAAAAACCACCGTGCTTAATTTTAGTAATTCTCAAAAAGGAGATAGTAATTTTCGATCTTATGTTCCCTTTAATCTTTCGCGATAACTGATAGTAAAATGTTTGGCTGCTGTCACGTGCCGTCGACACAAAATCACACTCCAAAAATATTTAAAGGAGATCACGATATCAGAATGCACGACGAAAAGGGACTTAACTCGCGAGGTGGAAGTTAAATAATAAACGCGCAGTTAGAAATGAGACTAGTTTGGGAAGAAAGTCCTACCTACTAGCTGAACCATGAGTACGGTGACTTGTTAAATGTTATTCAGCAAGTCCTGTTTTGCCATATTGATAAGTAGATGTAAAGAGCGTAGCATTCTTAATAGACATTATACCTCTTACGAATATATAGTTTAGTGCATTCATCTATTCATTTGGGTCTGTAAAACAAACTGCTAAAGGAAGAAGAAAAGAGGTAATAGAGAAGGAAACTAGTATCTTATAAAACATTATGAGTAGTACTTACTGAAAACAAGTCCCCGGCCTTTTTTTCCCCTTTTAACCATTGGCTTTTTTCGTTGGCTAGGTATTCATTTATCTCCCTGCTCTTGGTTATATGGTATTAATTAGTGTCTCTTCTAAACGCTTGATTCAATCTCCCTTATTGGTTCTCGCTGTGTTATAATGTCCCACCTGAATCCAATTAGCGTTTTCATGTTGAAATGGAGTTGTTTTTTATCTATTCTTATATTAAGCAATACTTTTGAAATACCTTAAACAGTTTCTGTACTTGCTAGAATTTTTATGCTTGATGTAGAATCTGCTTAATAACTTTGTCTTTACATGAATAAATAAATAAATACAAATCTTGCTTGTTGTTTAAAGTGATGAGTGGATACGTTTTCCTTTTCTTTGGAAGCTTGGAAATGACTAAAAAATTATTTTTCTCTTCAAGATGAGAGGAATGATAAAGTTTTGGATAAGGAAAGAATGTTTGAAGATAGTAGGGGGGAGGGGGAGGGGAGTTTCTAAAGAAATAATAGTGCTGCGTCAGTGTGGGTATTAAAGAATAAATTCCCTTTATCATCTGAGTTAAAATGAAAAAAAAGCCACAGGGAACAAAAATAAAAAGCAGACCTTTCAAAAGTAAGGCATTCTACAAAGGGAAATAGCTAAAATACTACTCTCTAAATAAGGTAACTACTATATAAAAGATCTGCACAAGTGTCTGCAATCGGAAACTAGAGTCTAAAATCGGACGCTAGTCTCCAAAATCGGACTTCAGTGTTACAAATCGGACTCAAGGGTCTATAATCGGACATTAGTGTCTACAGTACTAGTCGGACCCTACTAACTTGAATCGGACACTAGTAAATAAAATCAGACTCTAGCGTATAAAATTAGACACTAGTGTATCAACTCGGAAAATCGGACGCTAGTGTAAAAAATTGAACATTACTGTATATAATCGGATACTGACGAATTTTAGTATATAAAAGGAGACACTAGCATAGAAAATCGGACAGTAGTTTATAAAATCAGACATAAGTCGATAAAAACCGACACTGGCGTATAAAATCAGACACTAGCACATAAAATCGGACAATAACGTATAAAATCAGACACTAGTATAAAAAATCGGACACTGGTGTATAAAATCAGACACTAGTGGATAGAATCAGACACTTGAGTGTAATATCAGACACTTGTGTATAAAATCAGACATTGGTGTGTAAAATCAGACACTTGTGTATAAAATCAAACACTAGTATATAAAATCGGACACTACTATACAAAATCAGATATTAGTGTATAAAATCAGACACTAGTGTACAAAATCAGACACTAGTATCTAAAATCGGACACTTTTGTATCAAATCAGACACTAGTATATAAAATCGGGCATTTGTGTATAAATTTAGACACTGGTGGATATAATCGGATACTAGTGTATAAAATCAAACACTAGTATATAAATCGGACTCTAGCATATAGAATCAGACACTTGTGTATAAAATCAGAAACTAGTGGATAAGGTCGAACACTAGTGCATAAAATCAGACACTAGTATATAAAATCGGACACTTGTGTAAACAAGCAGACATTGGTGTGTAAAATCATGCACTTGTGTATAAAATCGGACACTAGTATATAAAATCGTACACTAGTATATAAAATCGTACACTAGTATATAAAATCGTACACTAGTATATAAAATCGTACACTAGTATATAAAATTGAACACTTGAATTAAATCGGACACTAGTATAACAAATAAGACACTATTATATATAATCAGACACTAATACATAAAAATCGGACACTTGTATAAAATCAGACACTCGTGAATAGAATCGGACACTAGTGTATAAAATCGGATACTTGTATATAAAATCAGACTCTAGTGAATAGAATTGGAAATTAGTTTACAAAGTCGGACACTTGTGTATAAAATCAGACAGCAGTGTATAAAATCGGACGGTAGTATATAAAATTGTACACTAGTATATAAAATTGAACAATTGAATAAAATCGGACACTAGTATAACAAATCAGACACTAATACATAAAATCGGACACTTGTATAAAATCAGACACTAGTGAATAGAATCGGACACTAGTGTATAAAATCGGACTCTAGTATATAAAATCGGGTACTTGTATATAAAATCAGACTCTAGTGAATAGAATTGGAAATTAATTTACAAAGTCGGACACTTGTGTATAAAATCAGACAGTAGTGTATAAAATCGGACGATAGTGTCTACAATCAGACCCTAGTGTCTAATGGGGCACTAGTGTAGAAAATCAGACATCCGTGTGTACTATCATCATCATTATTATTACTATTATTACTATCATCGTTATTATTATTATTTAAAACCATCATTTCTAAGATCTTTTGCAGAACGCCTTTATTATTTCAGAATTCACACATTTCATTTCAGCTTTACTAAGTTTTCCTGATAACTGTAACTTTCGAAAGGGTGAAAGGCAAAAACTTTTAGGGACTTTTTCATTATCCAGAATTTTATTCTTGAAGTAATTTCAGTTTCCCTTGGAAATTCGAGTTAACGGGGTTCACTGTAAATAATTTGTATAGATAAAATAAGCGGTAAATTGAAAAAATAATAATAACAAAAAAACAAAGAAACAAAAAAGAAAAAGGAAGAAAAACATAGAAGAGAGTTGTCAAACAAAAGTCAAACAAGAAAACTTTCGACGGCTGGAAATCTTTGGCTTTTAATTGACTGCCTGTAAAATTCTGAGAGATTTAAATGCGGTATTAGGCTTGGTCCCTAAAATTGGCAGAAAAAGAAAATTAACCACTGCGTTTTAATTTGCCTCGTGCATTCCATATCTAAGTTTTTTTTAGCTATTTTTCCAGCTTGGCAAAGATAAATTCAAAGCAGTTTAGATCCGTCCTTTTTGCCATTTAATTGGATGCCTTTTTTTGTTATCTTTAGAGATTCGTGAGCGTGTCTAGACGGTGGAAATCATAATGTTAATACAAAGCTGCGAGGCTTGGTAGGAAGCTGTAAAATGACAATCCGTTCCAGAGACTTCATCCAGTAGCATTAAATTCTGATGATATAAATAAATAAATGGACGAATAAATTAATGAATGAATGCATCGATTATTAAATGGAAAATTCCTCAGCAAAAGGTTTATCAGTTTGTTATTTTTCACTTCTAACTAACGAAGCTGCTGATAGATTTTTAGCCAAACAACCCCTACCTATTAAACAGCAGAAATCTTTTAGTATTCATCACTATGCATCCTATAATCACAATGTGGGCTCGGCTCTCATAAAGTATGGCGAGGCTATTCAATCTGAATAAATCCCCTTCCTCTCCTTAACCCTAAGGATAACTAAAAGACATTTACTAAATATGATTGGGGGACCTGTAGGTAAATTTGACCTGGAAAGCATAATGATACAATTTTGTCCAATCATAAAAAGAGAATAAATATGTCTAACCTTTTGAACAGTTCATCCTTGGCGTGTTCTTGAACTTCTTTTCAGTTGGGTTGTTGATCTTGGCATTACTTTTCTGTAGAATGAAGTAGGGAGATTTGATAAATCGCTTATCTAATATTAGCTTTTATATTAGCTGACATTTGCTGTTGCAAAACTTATTCCTTATCAGTTTTTCTGCCTCTGTTTTTTTATCATTTTTTTCCCTTGTTTTGTCTTCGTTTTTGTTTTGTTTTTGAACCACCGTTCTTCCAAACGAGTTGTTTTCACTTGCAAGTAAACTAGGAAATAACTTAATCTCACTTTTTGAGATCGATGTTCTAGCAATTTCTTAATTCTTTTCTACTGTCGTTATCTAGCCAGTAATTTCTACTTTGGCTTCTCCTTTGTAAATTGCTTCGTAAAGTCGATAGCATTACGATAGCCGTGAAGATACAACTTGAATAAAGATTATGATGAGTTTATTTACCTGTTGGAAAAAGGCCACAATCTCGTTGCCAGCACTGTCGTTTTCGTGTGTTGCTCTCATTTTACAGAAGAACTGCTGTTCTTTTATATCATCGTGACTCACACAAAAATCACAATGGGGAAAATCTGTGGTATTTTCTTGGGAATTCCAGGCACTTCTTGAAGCTATCCCCTAGGGAATTATATGAAAGTTCAGAATCTTGGAATCAGAGCCCTAAAATTAATGCGTTGGTAGGCACTATCTGCTGCTGAAGTGCGTGTTTTACCATCAAAACAACTCTTATTTCTAGTGTCAGTTATCTTTGAAAGTCATACTATCCAACAACACACCCGCCCTCTATAAAGTAACTTACTTTCTTATAGTCCCCTATGATGTGCCACCCTGAAGCCACGGCAGTAACCTCTATGTTGATATCTTTCTCACTGTAGGATACAAACAAGCTGGACAGTGTTGTCAAAAATTTCATTTCTTCATTTTCTCCTTTCTTGCAAATCTGCTGTAAATTGAATAAAAGGGAAAAGGTGAACAGACTCAACAGACAACGTAAACAAACAAACAAGTCAAACAAACAAGTCAAACAAACGTACAAAAAAAATGAAACTAACTTATTCGAGCAAAGAGCAAACTAAATTAGGAGAGAAATGCTGTAAAAGAATTCAAAAGAATGATTCAAGAAGAGGATGAAATGTTTCAGAAAGATCATTCAGGCAATATCTTTAGTTTGTCTTCTTTTTTCTTCCTTTTTTTGACTTAACTTTAATCCTATGAAAAAAAAATTGGTAGTATACAGATTAGAGGTAAATGTATTACCTTGAACGCCATTTCGGAATCATCTATCAGATAAACTCTGATATCCCAGTTACAGGCTTTGGTTGGCTCCTTCCCAAAGATCGCCATTTGCATTCGCTTCTGGTCATCTTTTCCTGGAATTCCAAAGGCTGCCACTTCGAGACTTTGTCTTACCACTGGCAACGTCAGCCGGATGTCGTTATGTTTTGTCTCCACCTTAGCATCAGGATACACTTCTTTAATATTTCGCCACTTTTTACTTTTCTTACGTGGATTGAAATGTGGCCGGCATTTAACATGAATACCCCAGTCGTTCCCCCCTACCATCAAACAGCAGTGTTCCATCAAAATGGGCTGCGGAGGAATGCACCCATTCTGAACTATTACGTAACGGCCACTGACCATCACTGCTGTTAAAGATAAAGAGATAACATCAGTCCAAAAAACAACGAAAACAACACTAAAGAAAAAGGTAAGGACATGAATAATGAACTGACTTTTAAATAGCCAGATGAACAAGTAAAGAGTTGAATGTATCAGTAGATTGATAGATCGTTCGTTGATTAGATGGATTGATTTATATGTAGATTGTTTGTTTGATGATAATGATGACGATGATGACAGAGACGATGATAGTGATGATGGAAGTGATAATGATAACGATGAAGATGGTGATGGTTGAGGCTTTAATGAGGATGATGATGAGTCCGTGAACGAATGTGCTTCAGATCAGTCATGACACATAAATGATACCCCATTGACAGAAGTGTCACTCATACTAATGAACCAAAGTAAATTGAGCTCCTTCAGTATTTTACATGAAAAAAAAAGAAAACAAACAAACAAATGAACGAACGAACAAAACAACCATAAAACACCCTGCGCCACGTTAGAGGAAAAACAAGTAAACAAAATCAAAGGATCGGAAGTGTTCGCTGCAAATATCTGCTGAAAAAATTTACTCACAAAGGTTAAAATCATATCATGTGTTTAGAGCGACAGATAAATTGGAAATAGCTCGATCTTTCTTTTCAACATATTTTCAATATGTTAGCAAATAGCAAATAAGCGCATCCGCGATGAGGTTACCGAAGACAAAAATTTCTACTAATTTTGAATTTCGGGTGATACACCGGTGATTTTTGATATATGCAGCATTTTTGTTATTTGCAAGGTCCAAGGTCCTAACTTCTAAGTTAGTTTTTGTGGGAGGCGATGTTTTTAGATTTATGCTTCGGTCGATTGTAATTATGTGCATCGTCTTACCTGGACACATTCTTGCTGCTGGGCCGGATTTTTGCCTTTTCTTGAGCTTTACATGGTTTCAACGACACAAACATCTCTTTCCTTCTTTGCGCTGTTTGATTCGTGCCAAGTGGAAGGAGTTTGGCCGGTACGTGTCGCCTTTATTTAACCCAAACAGGAAATGAAAGCGAAAAGGGGTTTTTCCCTAATTAACGCAACATTTGAGGAAAAAGCATATTTCATCTAAACTAGAGATGAAAACAAAAACAGATGGACATTAAATGTTGCTAAGATTACTTATCGAAGTAGTCTTCTATGTCCATTTGAGCTCTGAAGGTGCATTAAGTTTGAAAAACAGAGGCAAAAGTTTCCATAACAAATGAAAACAGAGACCACCAATGAAAGATAATACAAGCAGGTCACTAACCGTCATGCAGTCGCCGTCCGCGGAGGTTCAAAAATAACCAAAATATATACCTGAGGTTCTTATAAGCTTTTAGTTTCTCAAACTGACTATCTTTTTGCAAGTTGTGCTTCGATTATATCGAATCTGTCGAAAGCACCAAAGTGAAGGACATGATTTGAAACAGGTCTTCATAAATAAAATAATAAAGAAATCGAAAACAAGAACAAAAATCCGGGGTTTTTCCCACGCAAACAAAAAATGCAATAAAGCATATTTTTATCACTAAAGAAATCATCTCAACCATGAAATCTGATAAAAAAAATTCCAGAAATGCTTAGGGAAGCGTTTTCAATATCGATTGCGCCAAGTCTATCGGGTATATATCGAGAAACTTTTACAGCGTACTTTTCAAATATGTCTTCCAAGATAAGCTATTTCGCCGAAGCCGAAGTCTCTGGGTTATCGAATACATTTAAAAAGAAAACAGGGAAAACATTCTCAATCTCCTAGTGTGAACAAATAATTTTCTCTGATTAGCGATGAAAGGTCCCCCCAAAAAGTGTTGAATTTTGAAGTGAAAGTTTTTTTAAAATCAAAAGTGCAGCGGGGAAACCCCCTTGCCCTAGGAAAGAGAATAAATTAATCAATGCAACGTTTGTCAGTCGCCGCCATTGGGCATTTCGCTCGCTTTTGTTTCATAAAACAAGTGAACGACTGCTTAGCAGCTTTTTTCAGCGTGAATAGGGGAGCAAGGTTTTTGAACAGTCATTTAATATTGAGGTTCTTCGAAGAAAAAATTGTGACTGGATCGGATTATCGGTTGTGAATCAAAGACAAAGACAAAGATTCTTCAGGAAGGAATCGAACGCATATACACTATCTTGGTTTCGGAAAGACTAGGGGTAAGAATCACCATAAGCATTAACTTTCATCCATCTGATTCTATTTGATAAGTTGTTATGATAGAAATATCAGTTATGACTCATCGTGGTGAATAGTGAACGAGACAATATCTTTTTGTTTCCATTGACACACGTAATCGAAAGTACTTACGGTGCAATCTTTTTTTTTTCGGGGAAACCCCCTAACGTCAAGTGCTTTCGAATGTTGTAAACATATTAAAAGGTTTCCATGACAACATTTTTAGCAGGGGTCCACTGCATTTCTTGACCATTAGGAGAAAGATTGATTCCTTACCCTCCTGATCAGAGAGTATCTAGCCTGCAGAGTAGAGTGCACCTCCAGTGCTGGAGTGACAAGACGCCTATTATCAGTATTTACCCGCAATGATAGTAAGCTTTGCACTAGATTGAAAACAACAGACGGGATTTCGTTTTGACTATTGGAATATATACAAAAGTAACCACTCTATTCGTGCAAAAAGGCAATATTTACAAACACTCACACGCACGTGGCCTCTCCGAAAATATATGTAAATTATTGTCTAGAGCACGTTTGAATCACCACAGAGAATAGAGTTTCGACTATCTTATCTAGTATGAATGTTCATTTCGGAATTTAAATTCGATATATACAATACTATAAGGACGAGAAATTCCATAGTCATTCAGCTGTGGGAATCCTCTCAAAGAAAATTCAAGAACCAGATTTAAGCTACACGATATTCTTGCTGCTGGACTCTGTCAAAGAGCTCGGCAATTTTAGGTATCGATGATATTTGTTGCAATACCAGTAATTTTTGACAACTTCTGTGCAACACGAAAACGCAGACTTGATATATGTGCCCTACTCCTTTTCCCAAATATATTCTATAACCTTTTTTGTTTTTATGCCTTCATTTTCCCCTTTTTTAAGGCTACAGTTTATACGCTATAGAAGTAACGTCAAAAAGCTGTGCACAGAATTACAATGTCCGATAACGTTCCACTGCGCGATCAAGAGTCTTGCGTCGATGACGATTACTACATGATAGATGTTTTCAGTTATGTGCGACCGGAGACAAATGGCGAAACAGGATCACTGCATCAATTGGTCATGTACGTCACAAAGGCCTTGGAGAATTCTGGCCGCCTAGATATTCTTCGAGTAAGTGCGGGTACTTCAGCACAGTCAGCTTATCAGACAATCTATCGTTTCACTAACCAGTCAGCCACTTAGACGGCCATTTTGGTAGTTGGCCAGTCTGTTAGTCAGTCAGCAAGTCAGTTAGTCAGTCAATCAGTCATTCTACAAGTTAGTTGGTCAGTCAGTTCTATATTGGTTTAATAAGATCGAGTACAGCCTGGAACAGACTAGCCCGACTACTTCCCCCTTAAAATCTATCATTTTCACATCCAGCACACTGGTTTTTTTTCACTCGTTCCAGAGTTACTTGTGCTAAAATTATGCTGTATCATTCGGAAAGTCAACAGACAGGATGTCTATAGATAATCAATTAGCCAGTAAGACAGCCAGCCAGTTAAACCTGTCATAACAAGTTAAATGACTCTCTTATCCATCAACTTTGGGAAATATAATAAATAAGTGTTAAGTTGTAGTTAAAGGGATCCCTTAGCAAGTTTCCATAGATCTAAACTCGTGTCCTGCGACTACAACATGCATCAGCATATCAACTCTCCATTTTTTATGAACTGTTCATAGGAGAAGCAACGTGATCAAAACATAATGAAGATATACTCAAAGATTTTCCGATGGAAGAAGACACAAGGGGAAAACATTAAAGCACAGTTATTCTTGGGGGACTTTCACGCTGACGGAGAGGTAATGACTCGCAATCATAATTTTTGGGTTTTTTGAGGGTTAATTCATGGTTTTGACCCACGAAAGTTCAGATCTAGTTCCACCAGATAAATTGGTTGATGGCCATATCTTAATCACGATTTATCCACACTTTTCCTTGGCTATCTCAGTAGTCTTCTACAAAATCCTTTCTCTCAGGCTATGATAAAAAACTGCTCACATCTATTCGCCTTGAAGGTATTTGACATTGGTTTAAATTTCTAACAAAAAACGACCATTGTTGCAGTTCAATTTGTAATAGATCAACAAAGTGTGTAACCAATCCTGCATTATTTTCCAGATTGAAAGAAAGAAGGTCGATCACATGAAAATGGCAGAGAATGTCGTCATCACCATGCCAGTCAGCGACGCCTCCAAAATGAATGTGAAAGGAAAATTACTTAATGAAGTTGGAGAGATGATCTTGGAGATAGAAGAGATGACCGTAAATCTTTTTAAGGTGAGTTATATGTATTGAAACCGATTTTGTGTCAAGAATTTCTCAATAATCACCCCTATGCGTTTATGCCTGCCCAGAAAATCCAATGTTACCTCTCAAGATGCTGAGTGGTGAATTTTAATGGCTAAGTATTTTGAGAGAAATTAAACACAAAGAGTAATCACACAAAGACATCAGGAAAGTAGCAGATGTTCCAAGAAAATGTTGCAAAATGAGGCTGGAGAGTTGAGATTCAACATGTTACGTAATCATACATGCATTATTGAGGGCCGATTCTGGATGGTTTTTACTGCAATCACTCAGGTTGCTTGGTTTTTGGAAAAGGACCACTTAAATTTTCCAATATCATTCAAGCTTCACCTCAATTACCCTCAGTAAAGCAGAGAAATTTCACTCGCTCACCAGATGCTTGTCACTAAGTTTTGTGGCTGTTTGTAATTACTAGCACTACCAGCAACACAGCGTGCTCATTATTTTTAAATCAACTTTTTTTCAGTTTCAAGGCGGTGAAACACGAGTTGGGATAGAGCACGAGTATAGAGGCAACGAGCCAGTTGAACAAGATGTAGCCTCATGAAGCCAAGTCTAATTAGCCTATAGTAAGTTTTTTTTTCTTTAGTAGGGGAGGTTTGCGTAACTAAAGGATATTACTTCATTTCATATGAGGGAACTTCCTCTAATATAGCAATCAAAATCTTTTTGTCTAGCTTGATATTCCTTTTTACTCGCTAGAAGCCATATTTAGCATTCTTTTAGCCCTAATTGCTACTTCGAACTTTTTTGCTTGTGCTTTTGGAGGGCGGGACCTGAACCCTACAGAGATCTAAATTTAGAGGTTTGAGGTGAAAGTGCTGAGTTTAGCTTGCTAAACATATAGGTACCTCTATCAGGTTTTTTTGTTTTGTATAATCAGCTTTGCTTTAGAGAAAGAATGGGAAAATCATTGAGATTCAGCCCCACCCATTGTCAGCTAATATGGAAAGTTGAATTCGTACTTGTAAAGGTTTTCTCTTACAATTTGTCGAGAAGATAAGTCGGTTTGCTTTGAGTGATTTTTTTTCTAGCTTTTTGTTATTCGTAGAGCTAAAACTGAGCTGTCGTAAGGACGAGAGTAAAACAATAGATATTGACTGTAAGCATATATATGGACTGACTAGGTAAGTTAAAACTTTGAGCGACAGGAGGGTTTTTACCAGATAATTTGGTTATATCAGCTGAGTTGATTACGTAAATTGGCCACCGTAAAGAGTTTCTACAGCTGACGTTTCGAGCGTTAGCCCTTCGTTAGGGCAAAAAACTTTATATGAATATCTTCCGTTTGGATTTGGTAAATCTGGCAGACTAGATGAAAGCCTTTGCCTACCATTTCCAAATGGTCAATCAAACATGTACTTTAAGATGAATGCTAAGCAAAGAATGTGCTTGAACCTCCCAAAAATGTTTCGCAAACCAAGAGCATCAAAAAAAAAGCTTTAAACATTTTGTGCTGAGGGAAATAAAAATGCTACGGCATTAATTGGTTATGCGGCCCTATGCGATTGAAATTGATCACAAATGGATTTGGAATATATTTTAACTAGTGGATGATGACGCATTTGTCGTCACTGGTAAACTGAATTTGATGCCTCATCCGATAAAGGCGCCTGTAAGAAATTAGGCTTGAGCTGTGCTTGTACGCTAACAGATACCGGTTGTATCCTTTTCACAAATATGCTACGAAGCAGCATGATAGGAGCAGAATAATAATGCGTCAGAAGAAAAATACAAACACCCAAACAAACGAAAAACAAGCAAAAACCAAAAAACAAAACAAAACAAAAACACACAAAAAAAAAAAAAATTTAAAAAAACAAAACAAAACAAAAACACAAAAAAAACAAAAAAAATGGAACAGAAATATGGGACTCGAATTCCTGAAAACTATGATCTGCTTTGAGAAAGACTTCTGAGTTATTAAGTGCGATAGAACGTTTTCTTGGAAATGGGAATTGGTACTGGCATGAGAAAAATCTTCAATGGACCATCTTAGTTGAAAATGGGTGCATCGCATAGATTAAGGCTGAAGAAGTTTAAAATCTGTTCTACAAGTATTTTCTTTTTAACTTTAAGTCATCAGTATCAGTTCAGTATCCATGCATATATAAAATGCTAGTGATATGGATATTCCTTTTTTTCTACATTTAAAACGCCTTAACTAAGCTTCTGATGGTATGGTTCCCCTTTTTGAGGTTTTTTCATCTTTTAAACAACCACCGCACCTAATTTTAGTAATTCTCAAAAAGGAAATAGTAGTTTTCGATCTTATGTTCCCTTTTGTCTTTCGTGATAATTAATAGTAAAATGTCTGGCTGCTGTCACGTGCCGCCGACACAAAATCATACTCCAAAAAGATTTAAAGGAGATCACAATATCAGTATGCATGACGAAAAGGGACTTAACTCGCGAGGTAGAAGTTAAATAATAAATGCGAAGTTAGAAGTGAGACTAACTTGAGAAGAAAGTCCTACATGCGAGTTGAACTATGAATATAGTGACTTGTTCAATGATATTCAGCAAGTCCTTTTTTTTTTTCCTTTTGGTGCATTCCTCTATGCATTTGGGTGTGTAAAGCAAACTGCCCAAGGAAGAAAAAAGAGGTAAAAGAGAAGGAAACACCCTAGCATCTTATAAAACATCATGAGTAGTACTTAATGAAAACAAGTCCTCAGCCTTTTTTTCCCCTTTTAACCGTTGGCTTTTTTCGTTGGCTAGGTATTCATTCATCTCTCTACTCTTGGTTATATGATATTAGTTAGTCTCTCTACTAAACGCTTGATTTAATCTCCCTTATTGGTTCTCGCTTTGTTATAATGTCCCACCTGAATGCATCAAGTGTTTTCCATATTGAAATGGAGTTGTTCCCTATCTATTCTTATATTTAGCAATACTTTTGATATACTTTAAACAGTTTCTGTACTTGCGAAAATTTTTATGCATTAGGTAGAATCTGCTTAATAACTTTGTCTTTACAAGAATAAATAAATAAATAAAAATCTTGCCTGTTGTTTATTAATGTGATGAGTGGATACGTTTTACTTTTCTTTGGAAGCTTGAACATGACTAAAAATTCCTTTTTCTCTTCAAGATGAGAGGAATGATAAAGTTTTGGATAAGGAAAGAATGTTCGAAGACAGTAGGGGGGAGGTGGAGGAGAGTTTCTGAAGAAATAGTAGTGCTACGTCAGCGTGGGTATTGAAGAATAAATTCGCTTTATCATCTGAGTTAAAATGAAAAAAAGCCACTGGGAGCAAAATTAAAAGCAGACGTTTCAAACGTAGGGCATTCTACAGAGGGAAATGACTAAAAGATTCTACTCTCTAAATAGGGAAACTAGTATCAAAGATCTGCACAAGTGTCTGCAATCGGAAACTAGTGTCTAAAATCGGACGCTAGTCTCCAAAATCGGACTTCAGTGTCACAAATCGGACTCGATGGTCTATAACCGGACATAAGTGTCTACACTCGGACCCTACTAACTTAAATCGGACACTAGTGCATAAAATCAGACCCTTGTGTATAAAATTAGACACTGGTGTATAAAATCGGAAACTAGTGTAAAAATTGAACGTCTATCGCTCTGACGAAGGGCTAACGCTCGAAACGTCAGCTTTTTTACCCTTTACGGTGGCTAATTTACGTTTTCAACCCAGTTGTTAACACTAAATTACCTCTTGTGTATTAAATCAGACAGTTGTGTATAAAATCTGACACTAGAATACAAAATCAAACACTGGTATACAAAATCAGACACTGGTATCTAAAATCGGACACTTGTGTATAAAATTAGACAATAGCATATAACATCGAATACTTGTGTATAAATTCAGACACTAGTGGATAGAATCGGACACTAGTGTATAAAATCAGACACTAGTTTATAAATCAGACTCCAGCATATAAAATAGGACACTTGTATATAAAATCAGACCCTAGCGGATAGAATCAGACACTATTGTATAAAATTAGACGCCAGTGGATAGCGTCGAACACTACTGTATAAAATCAGATTCTAGTATATAAAATCGGACACTTGTGTATATAATCAGACTTTGATATATAAACTCAGGCACTTGTGTATAAAATCGGACACCAGTACATAAAATCGGACATTATTATATAAAATTGCACACGTATAAAATCGGACACTAAGTATAACAAATCAGACACTAGTATATAAAATCGGACACTTGTGTATAAAATTGGAGACTTGTGTATAAATTTGGACACTAGTATATAAAATCAGACACTAGTATATAAAATCGAATACTTCTATAAAATCAGACACTAGTGGATAGAATCGGACACTATAGTATAAAATCAGACACTAGTATATAAAATCGAATACTTGTGTATAAAATCAGACTCTAGTGAATAGAATTGGACATTAATTTATAATGTAGGGCACTTGTGTATAAAATCAGACACTAGTGTATAAAATGGGATGACAGTGTCTACAATCAGATTCTAGTGTCTAGTCGGACACTAGTGTATAAAATCAGACATTAGTGTGTACTATCATCATCATTATTATTACTATTATCATAATGATTATTAATATCATCGTTATTTTTATTATTTAAAACCATCATTTATAAGATATTTTTCAGAACGCCTTTATTATTTCGGAATTTCACACATTTCATTTCAGCTTTACTAAGTTTTTCTGATAACTGTAACTTTCAAAAGGGTGAAAGGCAAAAACTTTTATGGGCTTTTTTATTATCCAGAATACAAAACAAGCCTACAAAGTAAGTGGAAAGCCTGAAAACTCATGCTTAATTTCGTATCAGATGGTCTCAAAATCTACCAGCGATCTACCATGTCTCGGAGAGCTAACCTTGTAGTATTAGAACTTAGATTTCTTTATTATCTGCACGTCCTTCATACCCTAACCAAAAGCTGTTTTCATATTGCTGACACAATCACTACTCTAGTCTTTATCATTGTGCACGCGGTGGTAAATGTTAGTTTACTTGCACACGGTGTTGTATTTGTGTAACCTGCGTAGCAGACGTTTTCTTTTTTGTTTGTTTGTTTGTTTGATTTTTTCATTCCTCTTACGGCCTTGCAACCTGCTTGGGTACTCTCCAACAAAACTATTGGCAACTCACTCTAGTTACTACGGTCTCGCAGGTAAAATCATATATTCGTTGCAAATCTCCGAGGAAGCGTCAATAGTTTCTAGTTTAAAATTAAAGAGTCACGTGATCTACGAAAACCGAATGCACCTAGCATCAAGCAGTTTTGTCAAAGGAAGTTCCATCTCGATAAGCCCTCTAAGTTCTTTTAAGAAATCAGTCAGTGGCACTGGATCCTGTAAAAAAAGGGGTAAGTCCTAAGTTAGGGTTTGGGGGAAGTACACCTTCACTAGGAAGAAAGTTTGTTTATTTCTTGTTTATACACTGATAGTATCTCACAGCGAACACAGCGGGACATGTTAAAAACTTAGTTATATTTGGTTTACGACCAACTTCGACTAAACACAAGGTAACGTTTTTTTCCTTGTTGACTCAGGGGATGAAAAAATAAGTATTTTCGCGTCCAGTGCGACCAAATATATTTAGTAAATAAACATTTTATCATTTAACTGCCGTTTTCTCTTTATCTTCTTTTCTTTTTGTACTTATTCCGAACGCTTGTGTCGTTTTTTTCTGACACTGCTGATGCCATCGCGCAAGGGGGATTTTTTTAAAAATGATGTTTTACGATAAAAGCGCACACAAAGCTGTGCAGGTCATATTATGTAGGAAACTATCCTGAACCAATCATCTGCATATAGCTGTATCAAATATCATGATTGTCCAGGATAGTAAACAAGCGTAAATTATGAAGAACACCATGGATAAAAAATGATTGAATTCTTAAACAGTCTGATGTAACATTACATCAGTGAGCCTCAACTAACGTAGTTTGCGGTAATCAAACGAGACCGGTGAAAGAATGAAAGAAGTCTACAAGATACGTCATTACGATTCATTTCTTACCATTCAACTTTGGAGCCTCGGTTTGGTTTGGGACCCAAGCAGCCAAAAATATGTTTCAGCTGTGTATTCTTGGCTGGTCATGAAACGAAAAATTGAAATTCATTTGATCAATTTTCGAGACTATAACATTAAGATTATTATCATTAAGATTATAAAATATCGTTACCATTATGAGTATGATTTATTTATATCAAGAATAGCATTATTATTGTTACTTTTATTACTACTATCATCAATCAATTTCGCGTTACACTACTATCTTAAATCTTAAAACCATAAACCTCTACATTATTAACTATGCAAATATATAAATAAAACAAACGAGGTGTAGGAAAAGTACTAGCTAAGGACGAATCAACAGGAAGTTAATATGATAAATTTTCTAGGAATGCAGATTAAATTTTTTCTTTAATATAACACAGTAGGTTACATAATTTCAAATATCAGTCGATTCCTTCCCTCTGTTGACGAACAAATATAACTTACCGTGAGGAGGTTTCGTCGGACTATTCTTACGTTTCTGTGGTAGCTTGATCCTTACGCCTCTGTTCTAAGAAAATAGACGAGTTTTTTAGGTTATTCGATTTAATTTAAATAGGAAATTTCAACTCCAATTTGTGCGTACTTTGTGGGTTTTTAGATACGTAAATATACAAAGGTTAACTAATGTTAGATCCCTATTTAAGCAACTAGCATTATTGTCACTTTTGTTCTTGTTATTATTATAATCTTGTTATTATTATGATAACAATAACAATAATAATAATCATCATCATTATCACTAATGCAATTATTATTATAATTAATATTATTATCACTATTTCTTCCATCACCATTATCACTATTATTGCCATCACCATTATAAACATTATTGTCATCATCATTGTCATTACGAAGAGAACATTTACGAAGAAAAGCAATGATAATGACAGAACAAGCTGGAGGAACCTGATTAGAGCCTGAAATAGTTAAGAAACAGTAATTGTTGAATTGACACACTACATAGTATTATATACAAAAGCTTTCTTTTTTTCTTCAAGTATATGTACTTTGGATTTGAATTTTTATCTATTTTATCTTTATTATCATATTATTATTATCATTATAAGTGTCATTACTTGTCTATTATTATAAATAGTCATTATCCTCTTGATTTTTTTAATAACCTGCTGTTGTTTTACCTGCTTGAAGAAAGCCACCATCTCGGTATTCGCGCTGTCATCGTCATGAGAAACTGTTATTCCGCAAAAGAACTGCTGTTTGGTTCGATCAACGTGACTTACTTCAAAAACACAGAGAGGGAAATTTGCTGAGTTTTCAGGCGAATTCCACGCATCTTTTATAGATATTATCTAAATAGAGACATACAAACGGACGACGTCATTCCTCTTTGAAGTTGTCGCAAATCTACATTTCACAGAAAACGTAATCCTGGAATTATTCATTAAATGCAGTGGCGATTGTCTGAGTAGCTTTTTATACCAGTTTTATGTTTCATGCAACCTCAATTTGTTTTCTCCTCGTTATATAACTTTCTAAAACGATCTTTTACTCGGAAAGTTCTATACTTATTGTAGAGCAGCTGAGTACTCATCCGTACAGTCAGAGATGTCATTTCACCTTCACTTTGTCCCTTTTTATTTGCCATCCTGGATCTAGATCCGTAAACTCAATTCTAATGTTTTCCTTGCTGTTGGACACAAATAGGCCTGAGAGAGTTGTCAGCGGTCTGTTTCCTTTTTCTGCTTCTTTCTCGCAAACAACCTGTCATCAAATAATACAATAAATTAAAAGGCGCAGAAAAAACAACAACTAGCAGATGGTTCCTCATCATAGAAGGAGTAAATTAAGAGATGGAATCTGATCTTTAGTTCGTTGAAAAGAAAATAGCTCCAGAGGAGCGCCATTTGGTAAATTGCACCGTGTTACATCAGTTTAGAGGCTGACTCCTTCATCTGCTGAGTTCTTGAATTAAAACCGACTACCCCTGGAGTTCTTGAATTAAAACCGATTACTGTTTCTTCTTGCTGACTGAGATTTGACTTTTCCTTCTTATTTCAATGGTATCTTAAATCATAATTACTTTTATCATCATTTTTATAGTTACATGCTGTTTTTTTACCTTGAATGCCTTTTTTGAATCATCAATCAAGTAAACCCGAATCTTCCAGTTGCAGCCCTGTGTGGGATCTTTTCCAAATATCGCCATTTGCATTCGTTTCTGGTCATTTTTCTTTGGAACTCCAAAAGCAGCAACCTCAAGATTTTCCGTTACGACAGGCAACGTCAACTCTATATCGTTGTGTTTTTCTCTACCTTGGCTTCGGGGTAGACCTTCATGATATTTTGCCAGTTTTTCTTCCTCTTGCGTTGATTAGAATGTGGTCGGCATTTGACTAGGATGTCCCAGGAATTTCCCTCGGCCATCAAACAACAGTGTTCGATCAAAATCGGCTGTTGAGGATGGGACCTATTTTTGGGGACTTTGTAGCAACTGCTGACCATAAAAGAGCGATAGGCACGGTTTTGGAATCCTGCTCCTATTGTAGGAAGATGAATACAATTAATGTTGCTTCTACTTTGGGAACAACTGAAAAAGTTTTCACGATAATGTTACATGCAACAAACTTTAAATTTTTGCTTTGCATTCGAATTTGTGAATAAATTTCATGATCCTGAAATAGCATATTTTCATTTGTTTAAACCCGCCTCTACACTTCCCTTTGCCACTCAGGAAAGCCCAACATAGGGACAGCTCATCGTAATGTATTACCGTGGGAGGGGAGGCGGCGGTGAAGAAATTAGAGAATTGTGGTTAACTCACGATAAGATTTACTTGATCCCCATGTGGCTCTATAATATTCTTATAACACCCCATGATCCCCATCATCGGTATTCCTTCCCTTCCTCCCCCCCCCAGTTTCCCCCTTTCGTGGTTCGTTAGGAAACGAATAAAGAAAAAACCACGATAAAAAATAAAAAAGCAAAGGTAATAAAAATAAAATCTAAGCTAAAAACGAATGAGGACCTATTCTTGTGACTGTTTAGCAAAAAGAGAAAAGAAGCTCTACTATGTTCAAGTTCAAATATGTTGCACGTTGCGACACTGCGAAGATACAAACGTTATGATACAATTTCGTGGAACATTGCTAGAGTGTGAATGTGCAAGCGGCAAAAAATCGAAACTGATCACTAAGCTTTCGTATGTTTCCGGTAAAGAGCAGCTTAAATTTCATCATTAGAAAAACTGACTCTGACATACATTTAAAATAGTGTGTGAAATGAAAATTATATTTTCCAATGCAGACATGGTTTGCCTCTAGTATAGGAAAGATTATTTGAGGAAAGCGGATGTCGATGGTTCACAACTTTGCACCGTATCCAATATAGCCATTTAAATACTTAGAAATGCAAGCTTTATCAGAAATCACGATGCAACTCAGAGAAATGAGAAAAACAATGTCTTGCTGCAGCTAATGAAATAAAACAAAATAAAACAGTCTTCTTTAAACGTTTGGTGTTCGATCGAATGGAAAAATTAACTTCAGTGCTGATTTCACCCCTTCATTTGCATATCTGTGTCCTTTGACTTACCAGGACGCATTCTGCTGTCGTTCGTTTTGCGATGCGTTTCGTCAAGTTATGATGCTATGAGCGTCTTTTGCTCTGTTCTTGTAACCTTCATCCGATATGCATAATTAGCTAACTTCAAAAGGTAAACAAGGCCGAAGGGGTTTCCCCTAATTTATAGATATTTTGCATACGAAGAATATCTACTAGAATATACCTGTCAGCATTTTTCATATTTTCATCGCTTACTCGATTAACGTCGCAGGGTTTGCACTTACTCGGTTGGCATGCAAACTACAGTAGGTCGAGATCAAAGTAAGACATTTTAAACATAAATGAGTGTAGAAAACTCCTTCTCGGTTGTTGTGTTATGTGATCTCGTATCACCTGATTGAACAAAATTAATTGAATTAGGGAATTAATGGGGGTTTTTCCCTTTTCAAAATAATGGTACTAAGTAAGCATAATTCAGATTTCGACTTGAAGCAACACACTTCGCGAAAAGGCAACTTAAGAAAAAAAATAACTGCTAAGGATAGGTGATAACTTCAAATAAATTACAGTTGTTCCAATGTACTTATTGGCTAAAAAGAGACTTCTATAAATATATAATAAATTTCTAGGTTGGAAACAGTTACACCAGGATCGAAACTGAAAACGGGGAATCCACCGGTAAATATTTGATGAATTCAGTTCAAAGGAAGTTGCACATACGTCACAGTCTTCATTTTTTAAAGGTGACATCCGCTCCTATAAATAAGGAGAGTTATAGCTCGAATGGATACACTCTCCTTCCCTTAGTAAGAGAAACACTGATTGTTTAGACAGTCTTCAGTTCACGTACTAGTGGAAAAAGGGGGCCCTTTGTGACGGAGAACCCCTCAGCGCTGTGAAGGTGTCATTTGGGTAAGTATGTGAGTGTAGATATTATTTCCTTCGGGCGATGCTTCGTGTCTAAGGAAGAGTCCATCGTCACCGAGACCGGCTTGATGTGGGTATGAAAAAAGCTTCGCACACTCTAGAACCAGAGGTGGATACCGATGAAAACCTCTGCCACGCAATTTATTAAATTAAGTAATGTAAAAGGCAAGGGCGGGTTGAAGTAAACATTAATAGAGCGATAAAGCTTCGGCTTGGTGAAGTATGGTGTCCTGAAGAAATTCCCTTCGGAAATTGTTTGTGAATTCCAACTTAACTCACAACCGACAACATTAATTGCAGGTTTCTACAGTCACCCATCGCTGTCCATCGGAAGAGTGGACACAAGTTCTCGTTACATGTGTCGGTTTTCATTGAGTTCAGAGCTACAGAAAAGAGACAGTCATTTACTTATGATCAAGAAGATAGGCGAGTGCATTGCCTGGCCAGACTGACAGGAATCGGGTTTTAAGCATCGGACCTCAAAGGTAACCTACTGCATTTATGTGATTCGAGTGCGGCGTTAATTTAAAATCCAATTTATTTCTCGCAAACGATAGTATGGCAACCGTTTACATAAAAATTAAAGACATAAACATGTTTTAGTGCTTGTCTAAAAAGTCATTTTTTATATCTTTCTCAATTTGCATGTTAATACAACTGTAGTACTTAAAGTGAATAAAGACCTAATGTCGGATATGCTTTCTCGAGATTAGAACTGATGCATTCAAAAGGATTTGTGTCTAGTTCACTCTAAATTTTCAACTGCGATCTAAGCTTTGATCTATGGGTGCTTTTTAAGTCTACAACTCGGATAAACGCCGCATCAGGATGCGGCGCTTAATCGGTTTATTCGGTAGACGTTTCGGTAAAATATCGATATCATTGTTGATTTACATGTCAACAAATCTGTGACGGCTTAGTATTCAGGCGTAACTTTGTTCTGAGCATCTGTTTAAGATAATTTCACGAACGTTCTGATTTGTAGAGACAATTGTGCATACTTATCTTGGTACGAAGTGAGATTGTTTCTAATCTACTGTAGCCATTTTTTAATTCAGTTATTCTAGGTGACCTTACGTATTGCCACACAGTCTGGCATTGTTTTAAAGCTTCAGATGCTACTAACAGTTTATAATAATAAGAAGGATATAAACGAAGAACTTTTGTCTATGGCGAAGTTACCTAGTCTAGTAAATAGGCGTCTACAAGACATACCAATTCTTATGTATAAGGTTAAGAATTCAATACCAATCTAAACTATATAATTTACGTAATAGCGATTTCGCTATACTTAGTTTCAATTCAGTAAAATACGGTAAACCACGATTAAGATATTTAGGACCCTATTTGTGAGGAAAAATAGAAAATGAACTCAGGAGCAAGACGAACCTGCAGTATTTTAAAAATCTATTCGTAAAATGAACGTTTTTAATATTTTAGATAACAATTGTAATTGCACTGCTCGTCAGTCTTAACCAAAGTCCGCATTCTTATTCTACCGATATTTCTTTAAAATATCCCATTGCTAATATATTTAAAGATAGATTACTTAATAGTTTAATACATATTTCATAGTTTTTATATCTAAATGTATGTAGCTTATAATTATACTCTTTTATATACATATTTAGTTAGAGTGTCCCCAATTAATTGTAAAGCTAAATACAAAGGCACTTAAATAAAGTTTATGCATGTAGGTATGTATGCAGGGAAGTTCTTGCCTTGGTGTCGTGACGAATTTGACTCAAATTAAAACGCTGTCTTGATTTACACCCAGACACGCAAAACAAAACGCCTATTTCTTTCTATCTTCCTCCATCAAATGGCTCACGCATCGGCCAACTTATATTTCCAGCACTGAATAAAAAAATGTTTTAAAAAATTAAAAATCCCAACAAATCAAACAAACAAACAAACAAAAAACGAAACAAAACAAAACAAACAAACAAGTGAGAAAGACAAAAATTCTACATAGAACTGTCAGCTATAAAAGAACGGATCATGTTCCTTCGTATACTTCAGTTGGTGAGAGTATTGCAGTATATTGATTATTTCGCACCATGCTCAGATATCGCCTGGCACATATTGTGCACATGATCTGTACAGTAAACTCAGTTCTGGTATCTCGATTGTAGAGGGTAAAATATTGCTGATCATATGATATGTGGATCCATAATTTATCTCGTGCACAATGCACTTGTAATTATCCATAAATAACTTCTTTGACCATATTACACTTAAATACTCCTCACAAATTTTGTTTCTGCCCATAAGACAAGCTAGCAAGGAAGTAACATCGACTACACCTTCTATCAGTAACTGCAATTGGCAAGGAGCCAACATGTCAGATGACATTCCTTTGCGAACCCAACAGTTATGCACTGAAGACGAAAATTACAGAATACGTGTGTTTAGCTACGCACGGCCAGCCACAAATGGCGGTACAGGGTCACGTAGACAACTGGTTTTGTTTATCACAAGAGCCTTGGAGGATTCTTGGTGGTTAGATATATTACAGGTGAGGATTCAGGGTTTACACAATTATTGGACATGCATGTAAGTGTGATAAGGGATGACCCACCGGAGGGGTGATGTGAAGGGGTGGGGGAGGGGAGCATAGAGGAAGTGAGTTGGGAGATGCATGGGAAATGAAATTATTTTTCTTTTTTTTTTTTTTTGGTGCATCTCAGGGCAAACCTTTAAACACCTGAGATGAAAAGTAGAATCGGTATTTCCACTTTCTTAAAGTGTTTCATCTCAATAAAGGATTTATTTAGTTACTGCACTCGTCAACTAACCAATAATTATAATTTTTTTATAATTAGAAGCAGCTTGATCAAGGTATGGTCAACGCACGGTCTGTATACACGGACAGTTTTCGTTGGAGGAAAAGTGAGGGTACCAAGCTTCTTGTGCAATTAATCATGGGAGATTTCCGAGTTGATAAGAAGGTAAAACCTTGTACGTACAATTTTGTTTTAGATTCATCGTTGTTTCTTGTTTTTGTGACTATCCTTTCAGATCCCTGATACCTCATGATCATCAGAGTGGGGAACTAAGAGCTGGTAAATTTGAGAAACCCAAAAGATTATAATAATACCGTATTTCCTCGGTCAAGCGCCCAGGGCACTTTTCTAAAATTTCAGCCAAAATAACAGGGGTACTTATTGGAAGGAGGGTGCTTATTAAGAACCATCAACCTGCACTGATTCCTCTGTTTTTACTGATTCAGGTTTTCTCTCTATCTCTGCTGATAAAGAAAGTGAGGAAGGAGGAGGAGAGGTGCCTGGTTGATATCATGGCCCAGGGGGTGGGCACTTTTTCGGGGGAAGGCGCTTACCAGAGCGGGGGCGCTTTTTCGCGCAAATACGGTAGTTACATTACAGACCAACCCTTTGCTATTTTCTTTCCAGGTCGACAGACGTAAAATCGAAGAAATGAAGCTTGCGGAGAATTTCGTTTTTACCATGCCTAACAGTGATGCGTCCTATATGACAGTGGAGGCAACACTAATGAACGAAAGCCGAGATATCATTTTTCAAACGGGAGAGATGGACCTGGAGCTTTCAACTGTAAGTTCATTCTTAATTAATGCATGATTTTCACCTTTGCACAAAATATTATTTAAATTTCCGCTAATGGTTGCCTTGCATACATCGAAGAACTTTTGAAGGAAAAAGTAATGAGAGTGCTCATCAACTTTGGAATCCTTGTTACGAGAACTGCACAATAGTTATTAGATGCTGTGCAGGATGCATGATAATCTTTAAATTTGATCTGTTTTAGTTTCAAGACGAGACACGCCCTGCCGTTGAAAACGAGCATGAAGGAAATCAACCAATTGAAATGGAGGCATGATACAGGATTAAACATAGAGATTACTGTTTCTTAGTTCTTATTTTGAATTTTGGAGGAAATCCATTGGGTTTAATTTGTTTGACTAAACGTTAATTAGTGTAGGTGATCACATGATTTTGAGAGTCATTTCAAATTGATAAGTACAATTAATTTTTTCAAAGACAGAAACAATTGCCTACGGACCTCGTTGGCTATCTATCATCTCATATCCAACAAGCTCGAGTGGACAAATTGTTTAATTAAAAACGCCCCAAACTTTATTTTGTAAGAACAAACAGAATTTTGCAATGTACAAAAACACTTCCAGTTTAACACGTCCAAATGCACATAAGTAAACAGGACAAGCATACAGCAAAAACGCCAGGTAATTCGGGAGGTTATCGTCAATAACATCAGAACTAGCTCAAGCGAATTTAGTTTTGAGCAGTGCTGTAGAGAGAGTGTTCAGCTTATGTGAGCAAAATATTGTTTTCCAAATTCTTTTGGCCATAGCCTTTTGTAGGAAGAAAATTTACACTGCTAACTTTATTCTTTATGCAGTGTGAATTTTGAAGATGAAACGGTTTAAGCAGAAAAAGAGTTGATTTCTAAGTTCTTAAAAAGATATCTTAATGAAGACACTATGAGTTTCTGAGGCAAAAGGAAAAGTTGACAGTAAAATTGTTTGAGATTTTTGGGGATAAATTGAATCTAATGTGGCAAGATTATTTCAAGTATTCCACTCGATGTACAGTTGAAAGTTTAAAGAGGATCATAATGATAAGAACTGCGAGGGTACATTATTCGATGCAAATGTACAGCAAACATCAGTAAGACTTTTTCGTCATATTTAATGCTATTTAAGTTGGGGCAATTGTGTTTGACACAAACCTTACTCTTAATGAAGTAGCACCCCACATGTCATTTATGATTTCGAAGCATCAAATTGTGTAAAGAAAAGACAGAGGTAAAAGGAATATGGTATTTAGGAGATGAAATGTTTATAGTGAATTCTCGTTACAAAAAATAATTATCAAGGCACATGGTAGGCATTTTTGCACAGGAAAAAGGAAATTATTTTAATTTCCTGTTGTAAGAAAAAAAGGAATTTCTTCATGGGTGGAAAATTTTATAAATTCATATTGTAGGATTTCGCTGCTTTAAACAGTTGCTAATTTTTTACACATCAAACGTGTCTTATGTATTGTGTAGTGGAATATTAAAAAATCCAACAGAAATAAAGCTGGTAGCGCATGTTATTAATGAAGAGACGCTTGGTACACAAGGAATGCATTAACAAAAGGAGCTATTTAGGAGAAAATTTCAAATCAGTAAAAATTTGATTAATTTCATGTGATGAAGTGAACAGTGCTGAAGAATAACATTATACATACATTGAGGAGTTGCGTTTGAGTTTTTTAATCGATTCTTAGACTAGCAAAATTGAGCTGTGCCTTCCAGTTATTTAAAATAGATTATTGGCTTAATGCTACCGCAAACATTTTAGAAAACTGTGTTCTTTACTGAGCTTGTAACTTATTCATTCAATGTTATTACATGTATGTTCAACAAAATGCACCATTAAAAAAAAATCAATCTCATTCCTTTTTCCAAATTTTGGATGTGTTTCCATTAATTTCTGTGAGAAAGATTATTTATGGATCACCGAGCCCCATTCTCTCCACTGGGGTGTGTTGGCCTAACCTCTTAACTACCAAGATCTGATTGTTAATTCTCCCCTCTAGCTGCTACACATTTCCTTGTAAATTAGTTGCAAGAATTAATTGCTAGATCAAGATAACAACTTCTACCTGATACATTTGAGTACTCTTATTGCCTGTTTGCTGGATGGATATTGTAGATATTGTAGGGAGAAGTTACATGGAAATCACTCTTAGGAGTTAAGAACAAGTCTCTGTAAGAATCAAACAACTTGGGAAATGAAAACTTTCAACCACCTTCAAATTTTGCATGCAGTTAGGCACTCAGAGGGGATGCACAAAATTCCTTTTTTAAAGGTTGCAGCACTCTTGTTGCCATGGTAACAACGGCTGCTTGTTCGAGGCCTGGGGCCTCATTTTCATTAAAAAAAAGTCGCAAAAAAGAGTGAAATGTTTATTTCTCTATCTCAAGCTAAATACAACATTACAAATTGGCACTTCTACCATACATAGTGACACCATTCTTCTTCACTTTGATACATTTAATTTTCCCTGGGAGTGAATGTGAACACACCAATAGATTATTTATCTCGGTACAGTTTCAGTCATTTTTGTTGTCGGGTAAAACAGGGAAAACGTTTATAAAAATTTCTCTAAAAGTACACCGATTCTGGGACTGAAACTACCCACCTAGCTGGTTATAATATTCTAGTTTTTAAATATGTAAAAATCTCTGCGAGCGTGCCTCTACTCTCCATAGGGGCAATTCGCGAACGAAGCTCAAAAATCAGATATTGCATAATTTGGCAATGTTTACATCTAATGTTCTCAACAACAAATGTTTCAGAAAAATGAAACATACAAGGCTTTGAAAGAATGTTATCTTATGAGCAATATCCCGAAGAGAAATCTCGCCTGTGGTCGTCAACCTTCATTGAGGACTACTCGACGTAACTACAAACATATACCTGAAATCGTGAGCATATCATCCAGATTCCGAGTGCTGCACCTTCTTTCATGGGAAGTTGAGCGATCCGAAGTCCTCTGAAGAGACACTGTTATACTTGTATGTCATTTTAAAACATTTTGAAGTCGGCTGATCTACACGAAACTATCCTCACACTGGTCATTTGTCATAAACATGTACGTTCTCACGAAGGCGTGACGCTGTATTTCTCCGTGAAGTTTCCGTCGGTCGCTTCAAAGAAGACGAGAAATGGATATTTTTCATATATGTCAGCAGATTTTCGCGCATTCTCAAGTAAAACAATCAAAAAAAAAAGAGTAAAACCTTGATAGAACGCTCGTAAACACTGAGAATTTGAGAGTATAAATCGTAACTTGTCAGCGGCAATTGACAAGTTACCATGAAACAAGAGTGCTGTGACCTTTAAAAAGGGAATTTTTGTGCATTCCCCCTAAGTGCCTAAGTGCATGCAAAATTTGAGGGGGGTTGAAAATTTTTATTTCCCAAGATGTTTGATTCTCACAGAGACTTGTTCTTAGAGGGTAAAAATGAATGGGGAAAGGTGTGTGGGTGTGAATTGTGAGCACGAGCTGAAGATCACGCCATTTTTAATTTAGTCATGCATTGATCACGTGCTTTTGTTTACGGCACGCGAACAACAACTGCGCGATTGTATCACGGTCGGGATACATTGACTTTGATCAGGGGCACGTGACCAAGAAACAACCAATCAAAGTGCTCGTTTTGTTGAGTGAAAGTCTTGGAATAATAACAACATACTTTAAACACTGGGTGATGTGAATATACCGTCGCTGGTAAACTGAAGTTGATGCCACAACAGATAGAGGCACCTAAAGAGAATTAGGCTTGGGCTGTAATTGAATGCTTCCAGATACCACTTGCATATAATTCTGAAAAACAAAAAACTCTAGTCTAAAATCAGATATTAATGTGTACTACCATCGTTATAGTTATTGTTATAACTTTAGAAAGGGGGAAGACGAATTCTTTTAAGGGTATTGCATTATCTAGAACACAAAACAAGTGTAAAACCTGAAAACTCATGCTTAATTCCATAGCAGGTGGCCCCAAATTCTACAAGCGATAAAAGTGTCTCCGGGAACTAACCAAACAGTATCAGAGCTAAAATTTCTTTATCATCTGCACGTCCTTCATACCCTCACCAAAAGCTATTTTGATATTGCAGACATAATCACTACTTCAGTCTTTATTATTGTGAAGGCGGTCGTAAATGTTGGTTTGAGCTGCACACGGTGTTGCATTTGTTTAACCTGCGCAGCAGACCTTTAATTCCCTTTTTGTTGTTTATTTGTTTGTTTGTTGTTTTGCATTCCCCGTACGGACTTGCAACTGAGGAGCTTGAGTGCTCCTCAACAAAACCACCAGCTACTCACACTAGTTACTACGGTCTCGCATGTAAAATCTTCTATTTGTTGCAAATCCCCAAGAAAGCTCGAGTTAAAACTTCAATAGTTTCTAGTTTAAAATTAAAAGAGTCACCAACGGCACGAGACCTACGAAAACCGAATGCACCTAGCGTTAAGCAGCTTTTTCTAAAAGAGTTTTATGTCGATAAACTCTCCAAGTTCTTTTAAGAAATCAGTCAGTGGCAGTGGATCCTGTGAAAAAGAGTAAAGTTCAAGGTTAGGGTTTGCGGGAATCACATCTTCAGTAGGAATACAGTTTGTTTATTTCTTGTCCATACACTGATAGCATCACACGGCAAACACTCAACGGGAAATATTAATAACTTATTTGTATTTAGTCTATGACCAACTTCTTCAATTAAACACAAACTGTGCCTGACCGTTTAAACAACGTAAATAACTTTTCCTTGTTGACTTAGGGGATGAAACAAATAAGTATTTTTTCGTCCAGTGTGACCAAATAAATTTAGTGAATAAACATTTTATGATTTGAGTGCCGCTCTTTCTGTATCTTCTTTTCTTTCTGTACTTATTCCGAACGCTTGCGTGGCTTTTTTTCTGACCCTGCTGGTGCCATCGCGCACGGGGGATTTTTTTTTTTTTTTTTTCTACAATATAAGCGCACACAAACCTGTGCGAGTCATATTGAGGAACTATTCGATACCAATCTTGTGAATAGTGCTGTATCAAATATCATGATCGTGTAGGATAGTAAACAAGCGTAGAAGAACGCCATGAATAAAAAATGACTGAATTCTCACATAAACAGTCCAACGTGTAAAGTTTCATCAGTGACCCTTAACTGACGTAGTTTGCGGTAATCAAAAGAGACCGGTCAGAGAGTGAAAGAAGTCTACAAGATACGTGGTTAAGATTCATCTCTTACCATTCACCTCTGGAGCCTCGATTTAGTGTGGGGCCCAAGCAGCGAAAAATGTGTTTCAGCTGTATATTCTTGGCTGGTCATGATAGGAAAAATTGAAATTCTTTTGATCAACTTTGAAGCCTATCGCATTTAAGATTAAGATTATAATTATCGTCACCATTATGTGTATGTATTATTTATATCAAAAATCGCATTATTATTGTTACTGTTACTACTATTATTATCAATCAATTATCACGCTAAGTTACCACCGTAAATCTTAAAACAACAAACTCATACGTGATTAACTGTAAAACTATGAAAATAAAACAAAAGAGATGTCAGTAAAGTACAAGCTGAGGAGGAATCAACAGGAAGTTGATATGATAAATTGTCTAGGATTGCAGATTAAATGCAATTAATATAACACAGTAGGTTACATGTTACAAATATCAGTCAGTTTCCTCCCTCTGTTGACTAACAAATATAACTTACCGCGTGGAGGTTTCATCGGAGCATTCTTACGTTTCTTTGGCGGCTTGGTCCCTACGCCTCTTGTCTAAGAAAACAGACGAGTTTTAGGTTATTCGATACAATTTGAACAACAAATTTCAACTCCAATTTGTGAACCTGGAGAAGCCTGATTAGAGCGTGAACTAGTCAAGAACAGTTATCGTTGAATTTGACACGCTGCATAGTAGTATACATAAAAGCTTTTTTTTTTTTTGTTCAAGAATATTCACGTAGGATTTAATCTTTTTCTATTTTAATTCTCGTTATTTTACAATCGTTCTTATTATAACTATTATAAGTATTATTACTTTATTATTGTCATAAATTGTCATTAGTCATTATTCTCGTGATTTTTTTTTAATAATCTGCTGTTGGTTTACCTGCTCGAAAAAAGCCACCATCTCGGTATTAGCGCTGTCATCGTCATGTGAAACTATTATTCGGCAAAAGAACTGCTGCTTGGTTCGATCAACGTGACTTACTTCAAAAATCACAGAGAGGGAAATTTGCTGAGTTTTCAGGCGAATTCCACGCGTCTTTTATATATATTATCTAAATAGAGACATACAAACGGACAAAATCATTCCTCTAGCTTTCGAATTGAAATGTTATTAAGTTGTCCTAAATCTGCATGGCACAAGAAACGCAATCCTGGAGTTATTCCTTGAGTGCAGTGACGATTGTCTGATTAGCTTTTTTGTACCAGTTTTATGTTACATGAAACCTCAGTTTGTTTTCTCCTCGATATGACCTACTTTCTATAACAATCTTTTATTCGAAAAGTTCTTTACTTATCGGAGAGCAGCTGGGAATTCATCTGTACAATCAGAGATGTCAATTCACCTTCACGTTTTCACCTTTTATTTGCCATCCTGGATCTAGATCAGTAAACTCAATTCTGATGTTTTCCTTGCTGTTGGACACAAATAGGCCTGAGAGAGTTGTCAGCAGTCTGTTTCCTTTTTCTGCTTCTTTCTCGCAAACAACCTGTTATCAAAGGAAAGCAATAAATTAAAAAGCGAAAAAACAAAATAAACAAAAAGTTGATGATTTAATGAAAAATGGATTAAGGAAAATAATGCAATGCCTTATATTGTTGCACCACAGCTTTGCAGGGATCACAGGTGGTCCCTCATCAAATAAACAGTGAATTAAGAGAAAGAATCTGATCTTCAGTTATTAGAAAAGAAAATAGCTCCAGAGGAGCGCCATTTGATAATTTGTGCCGTCTTACATCAGTTTAGAAGCTGACTCCTTCATCTGCTGAGTTCTTGGAATATAACTGACTTACGTTTCATTGAGCCTTCTTGTTGACTGTAATCCGAGTTTTCCTTTTCTTATTTCAATGTTATCTTAAATCATAATTACTTTTATCATCATAGTTACAGTTACATGCTTTTTTTACCTTAAATGCCTTTTTGAATCATCAATCAAGTAAACCCGAATCTTCCAGTTGCAGCCCTGTGTCGGATCTTTTCCAAAGACCGCCATTTGCATTCGTTTCTGGTCACTCTTTTTGGGAACTCCAAAAGCAGCAACCTCAAGATTTTCCGTTAAGACAGGCAACGTCAACTCTATATTGTTGTGTTTTCTCTCTACCTTGGCATCGGGGTAGACCTCCATGACATTTTTCCAGTTTTTTTCCCTCTTGCATTGATTAGTGTTTGGTCGGCAATTGACTAAGATGTCCCAGGAATTTCCCTCGGTCATCAAACAACAGTGTTCGATCGAAGTCGGCTTGGGAGGAAGGGCCCCATTTTTGTGGACTTTGTAGCAACCGCTGACTAGACAATGGAAGCCACGGTTTTGGAATCTTGCTCCTATTGTAGGGAGATGAATACAATTAATGTTGCATTTAACTCAGGAAAAACTGAAAAGGGATTTATGATATTGATACCTTCAACAACCTCAACAACCTTTAAATCTGAAGTTTCTTTTGGAGAGAATTTTCTATCTTTTTAATTTTTTCTCAGTGGGCTCAAAAAAACGTGTACACGTTCCTTCTTTCACAACCTTCAAATCTGACGTTTCTTTTGGAGGAAATTTTCAATTTTTTTCTTTTTTTTTTTCAATTGGCTCGAAATAACCTTTACATATTCCTTCTCCTCTTGATTACCAAAACAAAAAAAGAAAATAATAATAATAATGCACATGTAATGAAAATGGAAATATAATTGTGAATGAATTAAGCCCTAGTATAGTATAACTCTGACGTCTTTATGGAGGTAATTCAGAATTACACGTTATTTAAGACTGGGACAAGAATTAAGAGAACTTAAAAATGGGATCAAAGTTGATGTTACAGTCTCGAAGCTGCACGTGACACTGCGTTATCGGTCTTAAGGATGCGAAAAGTATGATGCAAGACATGCTGAGTAAATGCATAGGCTGCAAAAAGTCAAATTTGATCATATAAAAACTCTTGTCTGCTTATGATAGAGAGAATCCGTTCATTTCAATAACATCTCCAAAAATCAAATTTGACAAAATGATAAAACTAAATGTGACATGAAAAATGTTTCATCCGAGTAGACATTGTTTGCAAAAACTTCGTTAACCAATATCACAAGAAAGATTGTCTACGGAAAGAGAGTATGGATGGCTCACAACCTTTTGCACAACATCTTTTATATTTTAGCATCTATGTGTTGTAACAATGTCTTGCAGTATGAAACGCATGTTAGGTCATCTAAATTGTGGAAAATGAAGAAAATCATGAGGTTCGATTTCTCAGAAAACATCACAAAAACATCTTTTTAATTTCCTAAAAACCACTGTGCAGGTCATATAATTCAGTGAAAAACATGTTATGTAGAAAATGCAAGCTTAATTAAAAACCGCGATAAAATTCAGTTAAAAAAGGAGAAAAAGGATGCCTTGCTGCAGTAAATGAAATGTAATCAAATTAGATTTTCTACCTAAGGTGTTTGCCGCTCGATCCACGGGAATAATTTATTCATGTACCGATTTTGTCCCTAATTTGCATATTTCTGACTTACCTGGATGCATTCTTGCTATCGGTCGTTTTCTGATGCGTGTCGTCAAGTTGTGATGCGATGGACATTTGGTTTCTACTCTTTTTCCTAAAAATTTTGCTGACACCTGCAGAATTTCATTTTCGGTTTATTTCAGGAGGCCACGGCCGAGGGGGTTTCCCCTAACGTGTAAATATGTTGCAACGAAGCATATCTACCAAAACAACCCTATCAGCGTTTTTTCGTCGCCAAGAACGTAACGTTTCAGAGCTTACTCTGCGCTCAGTTTGCATGTCAACTAGGTAAATAAAGTTCAAAATTAAGACACTTTAAAATATATATATTAGCATAGAAAACCCCATTTTCCGTTTTGTTTTCCTTTTTTTCTTTGATGTGATCTCGTACCACCTGGTTGAACAAAATTTAAATACGTCATGCTAAAGAAGAATAAGATAAATTGTCAATCGACAAATGAGGGATTTTTCCCTTCAAATTGATAGTGCAACGTTGCATATTTTTATCAGGGTAACCCTAGAAACGCTAATTAAACATATTTCAGCTTTCGACTTGAAGTCTCATGGTTAGAAGAAAAGCAGATTGATGAAATAAGTAAATGATGAAGAAAGATGAAAACCCTGCAAGGACCGAGTTTTATCAAATCATTTATAAGCGAAGAAAAGTAAAAAAAAAATAAAATTTTGGGGCTGGAGCTATTTTCATACGACCGAAACTAAAACTGGGAATTACCCTGTACAGATGCTGTTGGTGAAAATCGTCTAACAGGTGTAGGAAAGCTTATGGAAGGTACAAGGTTCAGCCTATTTCACTCCTCTAAAGTACAAGGTACAACTGAGCTCGCCCATATAAGGAGCCACATAGCTGAAATTAATGCATCTTGCTTTGAGAGTTAGAGCAAAGACGATCACTTTAAAGGCTCGCGGAACATAACAAATAAATAACATCACGCATTAGTGGAAAGAAAAGAGACCTCTGCGTTTGAGGACGGAGCACCCTTTATCTCTGACAAAAGTTCATTCCGGTAAGTAACTGAGTATATCTATTGTTTCCTTCCGGCAATGTTTGGCTTCTGAGAAAGACTCCATCGCCATCGATCTTTGCGCATATTATGATCAGAAATGGTAAACCATAGTAACTTAAGTAAGCTACAAAATTAGACCAAGAAAACTTGGAAGCAATAGCGGGTTGAATTAAACACAAATACTGCGATAGTGCTTCAGTTCGAGGAGGGATTGTTTTCTGCTGAGATTCCCTCCGAAATAATCTTTGTGAATTCAACATTCCTTGCAGGTGGCTACAGTCACGCAGCGCTGTCCGTCAGAAAGGGTGAACACAAATTTTCATTACATGTGTGGGACCTGTTTAGTGTGTTCAGAGCGACAGAAAAAGGACAGTCATTTACCCATGATCAAGATAATGAGCAGCTTATGTATTGCCTGGCCAGACTAATAAGAGTACAATTCGAATCGTGTTTTAAATATCAGACGTCAAAGGTAACTTACACGTTTTTGTAAAATATCATTAACAGTTGTAGACAACGAGTAATTTAATTTACTTACTTAATTTACATACCGACAAAGCCACCACTGACTTGATCACGCACCGTGTCAATTCAAGCCAAAATTTGCTCTAAGCAAGCGCCGATATTTCGAAATTCCACGTGCGTTCTGATTTATAGGGAGACAGTTGTGTGTGCTTATATTGGTACGATGCAAGATTGCTTTAAATCTACTGTGCCAATTTTTAATTCCGGGAAGTTCTTGCCTCGGTGTCGTGACGAATATGACACAAACTAAAACGTTCTCTCAATTTACTCTCAGACACACGAAATAAAACGGTAATTTCTTCCCTTCTTCCGGAGGTAATTTTCGAAATTTCGAAATTTCACGTACGTTCTGATTCGTAGAGACAGTTGTGTGTACTTATCTTGGTACGAAGAAAGATTATTTTAAATCTATTGTGGTAATTTATAATTCAGGGAAGTTTTTGCCTCGGTGTCGTGACGAATATGACCCAAACTAAAACGTTGTCTCGATTTACGCTCAGAGACACTTTGTTTCTTCCTATACGACAAATCTACTGTGGCAATTTATAATTCAGGGAAGTTCTTGCCTCGGTGTCGTGACGAATTTGAGCCAAACTAAAACGTTGTCTTGATTTAAACTTAAACACGAGATAAAACGCCTATTTCATTTGATGGAGGAAAAAGAAGAGTTTTCCTTTTTCCCTCCATCAAATGGCTCATGCATTGGCCAACTTACATTTCCAAAAACAAAAACTAAAGAAGAATCAAGTAAAAAAAAATAAACAAACAATAAAACAAGGATCCAACATGTCAGATGAAATTCCTTTGCGAACCCAGCAGTCATGTACTGAAGACGAATATTACAAAATACATGTGTTTAGTTCTGGTATCTCGATTTTAGAGGGTAAAATCACGGCCAGATCCACAAATGGCGGTACCAGGGTCACTTTTAAAACAACTGGTTTTTCCCATTTATCACAAAAATACAATTGGCAAGGATCCAACAAGATTCTGGGCAGTTAGATATAAAAATACAGGTTTAGAGGACTGTGGGTTTAAACAATTTTTGTTTATCACATGCATGTAAGTTCTAATTTATGATCAGGACTGTGGGTTTACACCCGGACATGCATGTAAGTATAATTTATGATGGAAAGAGGTTGGGGAGTGGAGGGGAGCAGAAAGGAAGGGAGTTGGGAGATGCATGGGAAATGAAATTTTCTTTATTTTTTCTTCTTTTTGGTTCATCTCTGGGGCAAGCCTTTAAACATCTGAGATGAAAATTGGAGACGGTGTTTCCACTTTCTTAAACTGTTACATCTCAATAAAGCATTTATTTAATCACTGCATTCATCAACTAAGCAATAATTAGAATTTTTTTTTCTAATTAGAAGCAGCTTGATCAAGGTATGGTCAACGTACGGTCTGTATACACAGATAGTTTTCGTTGGAGGAAAAGTGAGGGTACCAGGCTTCTTGCACAATTAATCATGGGAGATTTCCAAGCTGAAAAGAAGGTAAAAGCTTTGTACGTACAATTTTGTTTTAGATTCATTGTTTTTTTTTTTTTGTTTTTTTTTGTGAATGTCCTTAGTGATCTCCGATAACTCGTGATCATCAGAGTGGGTAACTAAGAGCTGGTAAATTTGAAAAGCCTAAAAGATTGTGATAATACAGTATTTCCTCGGTCAAGCGCCCGGGCACTTTTTTAAAATTTCAGCTAATATAAGAGAGGTACCCCTTGGAAGGAGGTTGCTTATTAGGAACCATCAACCTGCACTGATTCCGCTGTTTTTACTGATTCTGGTTTTCTCCCTATCTCCACTAATAGAGAAAGTGAGGAAGGAGGGGGAGGGGCGCCTGGTTGATATCATGGCCCAGGGGGTGAGCTCTTTTTGGAGAGAGGGCGCTGATTAGAGCGGGGTCGCTTTTTCGCGCAAATACGGTAATTGCATTGCAGACCAACCCTTTGATGTGTTCTTTCTAGGTCGACAGACTTAAAATCGAAGAAATGAAACTTGGGGAGAATTTTGTTTTTACCTTGCCCAAGAGTAATGCGTCTTTCATGACGGTGGAGGCAACACTAATGAACGAGAGCCGAGATATCATTTTTCAAGCGAGAGAGTTGGACCTGGAGCTTTCAACTGTAAGTTTATTCTTAATTAGTACATAATTTTCACCTTTGAACAAAATGTTATTTAAATTTCCGCAAATGGTTGCCTTGAAAAAATAATGAAAAGGCACATCAACTTTGGAATCCTAGTTACGTGGACTGCACAATAGTTATTAGATGCTGTACAAGATTCATGATACTCTTTAAATTTGATCTGTTTTAGTTTCAAGGCGAGACACGCCCTGCCGTTGAAAACGAGCATGAAGGAAATCAACCAGTTGAAATGGAGGCATGATAAAGGATTAAACAACTGTTTCTTAGCTCTTATTTTTAATTTTGGAGGAAACTCATTGTTTAATTTGTTTGGCTAGACGCTAATGAGTACAGGTGACCACATGACTTCGAGAGTCAGTTCAAATTGATAAGTAGGACCAATTTTCTCAAAGACCAAAACAATTGCCTACGGACCTCGTTAGTTGTATATCATCTCATATCCAACAAGCCCGAGTAGAAAAATTGTGTAATTAAAAACGCCCCAAACTTTATTTTGTAAGAACAAACAGAATTTTAAAATGTACAAAAACACTTCCGATTTAACCCGTCCTATTGCTTGCGCATGCTATACTGGCTCATAACTCATGACGGCTAAACCAATGAAAACTCTCTAATTGCATTATCCAATGATCAGGATATTCCATACCGACCTTTTATTACTCTCAACAATTGTAAATTGATCAATGTTTCTCTTTTCTCCTTTATTATATATAAGAATTAATATCAGAATACAAGCTCCAGAAAGAAAAAATACTCCATGTTTCGCCTAATTCGTCAAGTAAGTGTCATCCTTGTTTTTTTTAGAAAAAAAATACATTTAAATATTTCTTGAATCCTGAAAGGAAGCAGGTATGCTTACACGAGTGATCAGTAAAAGAAGTACCGAAAAAAGAAAGTCTAGTGTTCATACGAGACAACGAAGAGGGACAAGAGTACAGTAAAAATTCCAGGTAACTCGCGAGGTTATTGTCAAGAACATAAGAACTAGCCCTAGCGAAGTTACTTTTGAGCAGTACCGCACAAAGAGCGTTCAGCTTATGTGAACAAAATACTCTATTCCAAATTCTTTTGGACATAGCCCTTTGTAAGAAGAAAGTCAACTCCGCTAACTTCATTCTTCGTGCGGTAAGGATTTTAAAGATGAAACAGTTTAAGCGGAAAAAAAAGTGGATTTCCAAGTTCTAAAAAATATCTCGATGAAGATACCAATACTTTTGAGGCAAAAAGAAAAGTTGGCAGTAAAATTGTTTGGCATTTTTGAGGATGAATTTAATTGAATGTGGCAAGATTTAAATTATTCCACTCGATGTACAGTTGAAAGTTTAAAGAGGATCATAATGATAAGAACTGCAAATGTACAGTAAATGTACATTAAATGTACAGTAAATGTACAGTAAACATCAGTACGACCTTTAGGTCATATTTATAGCTATTTAAGTCGGGGCAGTTGTTTAAGACAAGCCTTGGTCTTAATGTAATTGTAGCACCCCATGTATGTCAATTAAGATGCCGAAGCATAAAATTCTTTAAAGAAAAGACTGGTAAAGGTAATGTGGTCTTCGGCAAATGAAATGTTTATGGTGAATTCTTGTTACAACAAACAATTACCAAGGTACATGGTAGGCAAGGTGCCTCTACTCCAATATGAGTAGGAAATTGGAAATTATATTTCTTTCCCATTATAAGTGAAAGGAATTTCTTCATGGGTGGTCAATTTAATAAATTCAAATTGCAGGATTTCACCACCTTAAACACTTGCTATCTTTTACACATCAAATGTGTCTTATGTATTGTGTAGAGGCATACTAAAAAATCCAACAGAAATGAAGCTGGTAGCACATATTATTAACGAAGAGACGCCATGTACACAGAGAATGTATAAACAAAAGGAGCTATTTAGTGGAGTTTTTTAAAATATAGTGAAAATTTATTCATTTCATCTGATGAAGCAGTGCTTTTAAAGAATAACATTGTACATACATTTAGGAGTTACATTTGAGTTTTTTAATTGATTCTTAGACTAGCAACAATGAGCTGTGCGTCCAGTTAGTTGAAATAGATTATTAACTTAATGCTACAGCAAACATTTTACAAAAATTAAGTTCTTCACCAAACTTCTTCCTTCTTCATACAATATTACATGTATGTTCAACAAAATTTTCTATTAAAAGAGAATCAATCTCATTCCTTTTGCCAAAGTTTGGATGTGTTTCTATTAATTTATGTGAGAAAGATTATTTATAGATCACTGAGCACTATTCTGTTCCCTGGAGTGTGTTGGCTTAACCTATTAACCTTTTCTAAGATCTGATTGTTAATTCTCTCCTCTAGCTGCTACACATTCCCTTGTAAGTTAGTTGCAAGAATTTAGGGTTAGATCAAGATAACAATTTCTACCTGATACATTTGAGTACTCTCATTACCTGTTTGCTGGATAGTGGGTGGATCTTGTGGGGAGAAGTTACATGCGAATCACCTTTCAGGGTTAAATGAATGGGGGAAGGAAGGCAGGTGTGTGTGTGTGGGGGGGGGTGGGTGGGGTAATAAGAGATTGTGGTAAATGGTTTGTTGACAATACAGGTCAGAAAGTGCCTTTATTCAAAGGTAAAATGCTTACAGTTTAGTCACCACTTTTCAACTGCATGAAATCTATAAGGATATGTCTACACTTCTCTTCCAACCTCTGTACATGTATAAACATAATTATATAAAAAAGATACATTAAACTCTACATTTCTCCACACTGCGATATAACCACAGGTAATTTAGGTCTGTTGTTGGGTCCCGTAGGAACATTCTAAAAGGAGATAAATGACAACGATAATAGGGTCATAAATCACTTTACTGAGCAATAAAAATTATATTGGCAAGACAGAGAAAGGCTACACTATGTTTCCACAAGATATACAGGCAAAATTCATTGTACAGCAACTTAATTTATCACATATTATAACATCAATGAGGATTTACCCAAGAGAGCAGCAAGAAGGTATTACACCAAGTAAATCAAGATTTTTTTGGGACATTTTTTACATAGACTAAGAATTACACTGGGTACACTGAACTTGGTGAGGGGATGTATTCTAAAAACAAAAAGAGTGCAATACTATTGGGGAAAATTTTAGGCTGGGAAGTGAGATTTATTTGCCCTCCCTTCCTTCTTTCAGGAAACTCTAAAATATGCACAAAGTTCAAGCAAACTCACAAAACTGTACAAATGAACATACAATGTACACACAAACTTAACAATACCTCTATTTTTCTCATCACTAACAGTCCATCAACAACTTTACCTAAAATCACAACAGTAAATGTGAATACTGATTTTCCAATAATCACATAAAATAATATGTAAACAGAATATTGCCCTTTTTAGAAGAGTAACATTCCTTCAATAGATAACTTGGAATTCACATAGGGAAAATATAAAAATGCACACAAATTGCTGGCAAATTCTACATGGGAAGAGAAAATTTCTAATTTCTAGTTTACATTGAATGCCAGTCATAACAAATAATAACCACAACAAATGAATAATTACAGGAAATAAATCTCAATAGGTTACAAAGACAACACTCATTGGCAACAACAACAACAACAACGTTCTTAACAACATAAATAAATTAAATTAGAATTATTTATTTCATTTTACAAACATTGTTGACTGATTGAAAATATTATTCACAAGTATCAAGATGGTAACACTACACTGTACATGGTGAACCTGGGAACTAAATTAATGGGAGGTTTTATTGTTAGCTCAACGAAGAAATTAACTTTGTTCATATTGTTTTAATTATACTTACCAAATACAACATGCTTCCCATCAAGAAAATCACACTTGGCACAGGTGATAAAGAACTGCATGACAAAATGGAAAGACAATGTCTCCATTAAGCATGAAAGGGTGCTCTAAATTTGTCTGTCTACATTCTCTGTTCTAAAAGGGGCACAGTTTTCAGAGAAAAAAGCTAGATGAAAACTGAAATCTAAACATTACCATGAACACAGCCTTAATAGTGCTACAAATGTTAAATACCTTTGAATATAACTATACTGTTTACATGTATGCTTACCTGACATCCATTTGTGTTTGGACCACTGTTTGCCTAAAAATACCATTGGATAAATTTATCATTTAAATCAAGGAAGTCAAGAATGGACCCACAGGCGGCCCAAGCTCACATCTCGAGAAAAAGTATGAATATTTTACATCTTTTGACATGGATAACAGTGATGGTAAAGCAAGCTTAAAACGGCAGAAATCGCCAGAAACTACGACAGATACACGGGGCATGAGTAAGTTTTTATTGATTTTATATGTAAAATATTCATATTTTGAAATATTTATCGTTGTAAATCGACCATATTTCGTTCCCCATACTATTCCTTATAACGTGTTCAAATTTTCAACGGTTCCTCCCGTAACTTAACACCGAGTCACACAACGCGTGACGTGTTCATGAATTCCTCGTTGGCTTTTTCTCGAGATGTGATCTTGGGCCGCCTGTGATGGACCAAGCTATAAAACAATTGTAACCATCAATGCAATAGTGGAGAGTATTAGAGGTGCACTGAGACTTGTTGTTGCATGTAATTACCATCAAAAGAAATGCAAAGAAGTAAGATACTATTTATACCAATGAACTCCTGCATAATCATACAAACTTGTTGAATCACACTCACCATAGAAAGAAGACCTGATGCATCATGTTTTAACTTGAAATTTTCATCAGGGAATGCAACCTCTCCATAAATACTAAAAACCCCTGTACCGTCACCCTTAGGAAAAATTTTTAAAAAAATTATGTGCAGGAAAAATAGACTGCATATACCACATATGTGAGACATGGATCAATTAAGGACCTTGAATAAATTTATTTCAACCCTTACATGCTGACAGAGTAGGGGGTTGCCAGGCATCCAGCAAAAGTATTCTCTCAGTGAGCACATGAAACTAAAGTGGGGACGAGCCACAAACATTTTACTCAGACAAGTTTCTTTCTTCATTAACAGGATTAATAAACAGGACATGAGAGATTAATATTTTTTAAATTAATAATGGTAATAAGACTGAGTGGAGCCCTATTCTGTCTGTAATCATACATTCAAGTGATCAACACAATTGGACTACTGTGAAGTGGGAGTCTAATTTATTAATCACAAGTCAGACTGATCACAGACAGAACTGGACCACACAAAGTCCTGTTACCAATTAGTCAAAATTATGACAAAATTTCAGAAAGAAACTAGACATCAGTTATGTGTACATTTCCATAAAAAAAACAACAACAACAATGGCAACAATTAACTTTGCAAAATGTGAGAGAAAAGCATGCACACATGGTGTGTTCTGTCCACTTACACAGGCATGACATGTTAACTGACCCTCCAACTGTCCAATTACAAGCATGATGCATATGCTGTCCTATTAGTGCTCAAATTGGCCTGATGATAACCAGTCACGTTTGAGAATTTTATTATAGTTTTGATTAATGTGGAACAAATGGTCAGGTGCACAGTTAAAGTTTGGAGGGAGGAGATAACGTTTGCTTTTGAAAGTCCTGAGTGACATGGATTCTGGATACCAAGCATTAGCAGCACTTACTTTGACAAAGTCGCCACCTTGGATCATGAAGTCTTTTATAACCCTGCCAGATAAAAGCATAAATCTTAAAGAAGCAATCAAAGATGACAAGTATCATTGCTATGTGCAATAATTATATACCATCACAAAAATTTGCATTCTTAGACACTATGACATCTAAAATTGCCTGTATACACTGTGTACATGTAGTACAGACATGCAATGTTTTGTTCCTAAATTAAAAAAAAAAAAAGGCAATCATTTTAGAGGTCTTTATTGTATGTAACTAAAATTACAACAAACCTGTGAAAGAAGGCCCCTTTGAATCCTTGAGGTATTCCATCTTTTCTAAGAGAGAAAAAAAAATGAGTGGCTGTAATTAAGAACAAAGAAGATTTCTTGAATTTACTTATATACAGAATGTACTTTTTTAAAACAACCAAAAAGTCATTGCTCATTCCATCTACAGTTAAATATATCAATCAGACAGACATTGGACAGAATATGTGTGGTGAACCTTAACTCTTTAGCCCATAAGAGTGACTAGCATCTAATTTCTCCTTACAATCTATCCCCTGAATCACACATTAAGGTCATGAGAATAATGAAAATGATCAACAACTACAGAAGCTCTGGATCGTTAAGCTAATACTCCTTGTCAGCACCTTAGGAAATGTATAGAGAACAGTATGGAGAATATGCATACTGATGTTAGATGAGATTAAGGTTAAACCTAGGATCAAACCTTTTTTCTGTAATTTCTTAAATTCAGGTGAAGCAGAGGAATAATATCAAAACATATTTTTACCTGAATTCTCCTGTGCACAGTTGTCTGGAAATAAAAATGGAAAGTAAACAAGAAACATGTATATAAAGGTTTGCCAAAAGGTATTGTGGAGTTTAAACTTTTGACTAAGAGTCATGTGAAGAATAAACAAAACAACAGTAGAATCAACCATGTCACTATTGAACACTGACATTTTGATTGGGTTAAATGTTTTGTTGTCTTGTTTGCAGACATATCTCCTGCTTCATCCAATTTGGATTTACATTGATGGAGGACTATGTGAATTTATTCAGTTAGAAAAAGTTCATACTGACTACAATCCACATAATTATGAAAAAGGGAGAGCTTGACGCAGATCAAGTATTCAAAGGATTGTAAATACATGTAAGGAGAGACATAAAAAGCTTCAAATTTATTTCTTCAGACAAGAGTCAAGGCCTTTGTACTGAGCCTATCCCTACATGTACTAAACACAAACACACAAAAAAATTGGGAAAGGATGCCTTTATGATGTTGTTTAGGGTAGAGGGGAGGCTGTACACAAGCTAATTCAAGCATTTTTTCCATTTTCTCTTGGTTTAATTTTGAAACATCTTGCTTTGCATAAGACTCAATTGAAGTTTTTTCATGAGTTTGTGCTCTTTTCAAACTGTTTCCTCTTTTCAATAGCAAATTAATTAATAAATGGTTCATAAAAATAATAAGAGAAAAGGCTGAATTTTAAAAATACTCCAGCTATGCCACAGATTTCTGTAATTAACCCTTTAACTCCCAAGATCTCATTCGTAGTTCTCCTTACTGTCTGCCATATAGTTCTTGTGATGTTAATTTTGAGAATTTAGTACTGGATCAATTAATAATCCCCTAATTAGTATTTTTATTTATTCTCATCACTTGTCTGCTTAATATTGTATTGATATTGTAAGGAGAAATTCTGTCTTGGTCACACATAGGAGTTAAGGGGTTAAAGTTACAGTTAGTCATTTATTTTCTAGTTACTTTACTGTTCATCATTATGCATGCAAGAAACACATTTCCTTCTTTAGAATAAGAGCTTAGGAGAGGTAGATTGTTTTTCAACAAAGTAATGGGGAACTCTAAATTTACCCCAGGACAATTAAAACCACCTCATATTTTCTGCTGTTTTTGGTACGACATCTGCAAACAGCTCCATTTTCAGTCTTCCAACCTCCTACATTTTGGAACAAAATGCATACTTGATTACAAAATACTACATATTAGATAAATGAAGTAAAAAAAAAGATCAATGTCAATAAAATATTAAAATCAATGAATATTAAAATAGATAAATTGATGGATAAATATTGGAATAGTTTAGCTAACCAAGGTCAAGCTTGTATTCACAACAGTAAAAGCTTAGGTGATCTATAAAAATTTAGTGATTCCCATCAATTTTGACATTTTTCACGTAAAATACTGCGTTGGAAACGAAATTCTTAGGCAACACAACTATAGTTTCAAGCGACATAACTTCGCGATCAGGCCAGACGACTTAAAGTCCATTCGACATAAAAAAAAGCTTTCGTTGCTCTCAGCTACGCCTTAAGCAACTCTAACGCAACTATCGTGTTCTCCAATCTTCCTGTTTGCTTCATATCTTATCAAGACGTGTGTATCGCACTTCCAAAAGCTAAGTTTCAAGCGACATAACTTCGCGATCAGGCTGGATAACTTAAAGTCGATTTGACATCAAAAAGCTTTCGTTGCTCTCAGCTACGCCTTAAGCAACTCTAACGCAACTATCGTGTTCTCCAATCTTCATGTTTGCTTCATATCTTATCAAGACGTGTGTATCGCACAACCAAAAGCTTTTCACGTGCTTGAAACCTGCACATGCATCCCGATGAACCACTTGTTTGCGAGTCCTGCTCTCGGCCATCAGAAAGATGATCATCAGGAAGAAAAAATATAAAAAAAACCAAATCAAAGTCGCATTACCTGTCCCCCTATGGATATATCAAAGAAAACAACGGGATTTGAGGGGTTCGAGGCACCCGTTGAAGACGATGCTGCCGCCATTGTTAAAATGAACTACGAGGAATGGGGAAGAATTACCTCTTCCCTAGACTCCAGTCTTTTGCAAGGGTAAATTTCCCTCACTAGAGCCTGGAAAGATAATCGGAAGCTTCAGAAATCTTCACCCATTGTGCATTTTGTTCCTGATTTTATAATTGCTGGTCTGCCATAAGGTCGATTTTATAGTTTAATTGCAACGTAAATTATGGAAAATTTGGTTTAGAAAGTATCGGTCAAGTCATTTTTGCTCAGAGATATTTCTGACCAGGGAGGGGTAGGTTGAGGGCACTGGCCCCAATGTTTATAGCGCTTGGGAACTGTACAAATAGATACACGTGCTTGGTGCAGAAGCTTATGATCTCGAGTCACAGGAATTTCGGTGGTGTTCATCGTAGTATATTGGAGAAGTTCACGCAAGAAGGAAACAGGTAGGGAACATAGCGTTTCCTTGAAGACTGCTCACTGATCTTGATGTGGCTGATCACGAGTTTAGCTCGCGTTCAATTTGGCTTCCTCTTCCATTTCTCTGTATTAGTTTTATCTTTGTAGATTATCTTTTAAATGTGTCGGCGCAGTTCAGTCAGAAACATATATTTAGACTGAGATCTAGCACAAGGGAATAATAAAAAGGTGATCGTACCGTTTTCCATCAACCAGCTTCAATATGTTTTGGTCGGTTGTGATTAACTCGAGATCAGGGTTACTAATTTTATGGTGCTGATGAGAAGCAAGATTTATGAAATTATAACACAGGAATATTGCGGCATTTGATATGTGCTCGAATGGATTCGATTTAATTTTAGAAACAATACTTTAGTGCAATACAGTTTTATTCAATGTATTTGTTACTCACAGAATACAATTTTATATGACATATTTATTTCATAAAGACTTAATAAATTCAATGCCAGTTCATTATTTTGCGATAAGATCACAAGAGAATTAGAACCTCTACTATATCTAAACAATTTCTGAAACAAAAGATAAGAAAAAATTCAAAAGAGACTATAATGGTAAAAATGACCTAAAAAATCAGTGTATTGTCATTCCAGACACAGGGATGTTGGCTTTTCGGTATAATGCAAAGTGCTAAAAGTCTGAATGTCTAAAAGAATATGTTATGTGACTGATTTAATCAGTTATTTGCTGGCGGCACAACAGTAGACACTACCAAATTTCCCATTTCCTTGGAGAGATTGTTGAAGATAAATTCAACCCAGTAAATTTCAAGAACTGTCTACACAAAATAAGGTAAATGGTAAGATATGACACACAGAAAGAGCATATGTAGAGAATTTTATGTTTATCATTTACTCTTTCATGTGTTTGTATTTTTTTTTTCAGAAACAGAAAATGAATAGAATACAGAATGGCTGGTTTTCCGAAATAAATGACCAGTGGCCCGGCCAAGCACTTTCTCTTGAAGTAGAGGAGATTTTGTTTGAGGGAAAATCAAAATATCAGGATATTCTTGTGTTTAAAAGGTATGTTTCAGGACTATCAAGAGTTATCAATTGCTCTAGATATTTCTACCAGATACAAGGCAATTCACCAATTTTCACGACTATTTGCAGAGCACATGTCATGCTTGATATAAAGATTTGTTGTCAATTGAAAAAAAAAATGAAACTTGAAAATATTTACAGACTAAAAGTGTCACTTTTTACATATAAACATAAGAATGGAATGACATAAGTAACACCCTAGCTGTACTACTGAATATTCTCACAACTGCATCAGAGATTCACTCATATAATACCAGGTATGTTGCAAATCAAAACTTCTTTAAGCCATCAGTATGCACTAATTATGGTATGTCTACATTTAAATTATCTGCAATTAAGATCTGGGAATTTCCACCACTGGAATTTAAACGTTTTCTATACATGCTATTCAAAAAGTAGTGTAAAAGATTCTTATTGAGTACTCAAAACTGACATGATAATAGTTTAATTGTTAGCTATAAAAGATAATGCTTCACAATATGCAGTTTTCCTTTGATTCTAACTTGTATTTATGTATGTCTTTCTTCTCTTATGATAACAATATTGTCTTTAATGTAACTATCGATTTAAATTATACTTAACATGCGGCCAACCCCAACTCATATCTACACATGACAGTGACCAACTCGAAAGCTCATTGGCTACTCTGGTCACCGTAAATGATTAAATATTCTTTCCTCTCGTTAATTTCTGTTTGTATTTTTTCTATATCATTGTAAATCATGTTATGTTAAGTTTTTTTTTTCTGTAAACAGTGTGGAAAAAAAAATTCAAGTAAAGAAATGCTATTCATTAGTTATTCAGCCACAACAGTCAGTTAGTCAGTCAGTCACATAGTAATTTGAGTGATCAGAGTTGGTGAGCAACTCAGAATTCAAATGAATAAAGGGTGTAAGTTTCTATAGAAACTGTGGTGCTGCATCTGCAGGAGAGTTTAACAGGGTAAATTAGTATTATCAAATGAGTTGATAACATAAAATGGCCACTCAATTGATTTACAATCAGTTAGTCAGTCAGTCAGTTTATCAGTCGGTCAGCCATTCAATCAGTCAGTCAGCCAATCATTCTTTTAATCATGTTTTCTTAAATCAATCAGGATCCATTACAAATTTTTGTTTTCATTGTTATGATACTTTATTGGTGAACCCTACAAAAATATATATTTTCTTCTAAAGTTGATCTAATACTATAATCAAATAGACCCACAAACACACATATTGAATAGAAGTCTTCTCAATTTTCTAGCAAGCATCATAGCAAGGTCCTTGTGTTGGATGGAGTTATACAATGCACTGATAGAGATGAGTTTTCTTATCAAGAGATGATTACTTTTCTTCCACTCAACTCGCATCCTTGTCCTCGAAAGGTAAAATATTCCAATTTGAACTACTGATTATCCTATCATTAAATGTCTGAGTAACTAACCAGTTTGGCAATTTGTGATGAAATCTCTATGTGGCTAAATACAGTACTTCTAATAATCTACAGGTTCTTGTTGTTGGCGGAGGCGATGGAGGAGTTATTAGAGAAATTTCTAAACATCCAGCTGTGGAGTCCATTGTTCAATGTGAAATAGATGAGGTGAGTGAAAAAGTGGTTGTGTGACTTACAGTACTCATAAAGCTTTTGTGGTCTTTTTATCATTCATTACCAGTCTTGCTCAAACTGTGCAATATGACTTTTAGTTGAAGGTCTTCCTCAATAGGCTGTATCTTTTTAATCCTTCCACCCCTGAGGTTGATTAGCATCTAATTTATGTTATTTAGTTATGAGGATAAAGGAAATGATCACTAGCTAAAAAAAAGTTGTGGATTGTTATAAGCTAATTCTTCTTGTCAGCACCTTAGGAACGGCATAGAACAGTCTGGAGAATATGCATACTGATGTTAGAGTGTAAAAGTTCAATAAAAAAAGCCTGGTTTGTCACTGATCACCATCATTATCCTCCCTAAATGTTCACTTGTCAGTGTTCTTGTTTTCATAATCCTCTCTGCCAATAAGCATAAGTAATGAAATTATTTCAAATGCAATTGGTCTCAATATGTTTGTTAACACAAGTACATTTTTCAAATACAAAAAAAATTCACATGAGCTGATATTAGGTGTGTGCAATTTATGGTCTTAGGTGCATATTTACACCAAATTACACTAGAAATCATGTTATTGCTTGTTAATAATTTACATGAAAAAAGCATCACAGGAAGTCAAGACAGAAGAAATTTTGAAAGTGCTTGTGTGCAATTCGTAATTTGCACTTGACTTACAACATTGCACTTGTGTTACATGAAGAATGCACTTGAAGCACATAATTTTTTCATGTATATTACAATGATGACTACATGTAAATCATCCTAACAATTGATTTTGTTTTAATAATTATGTTGACATGAACTTCAGACAGTTTATCTGATTTGTTTTCATTTTTCCATGTAGGAAGTAATTGAAGTGTGTAAAAAGCATTTACCAAATATGGCCGAGGGTTTTAGCTCACCTAAATTAACTCAGTATGTAGGAGATGGATTTGATTACATGAAGAAGCATGAAAATGAATTTGATGTTATTATTACAGACTCTTCAGATCCTGTAGGTATGCATACTTATCAATGCAATAGCCATCATACCAGCTCTTAACTCCCAAGGTCTTGCCATCAGTTCTATGGTCTGTCACATAATTCTTATGATAATATGGCCTTGAGAATCAACTTCCATTTTACACTGAGTTCATCGGTGTGAAATTTCTGCTTGACGGGTGCAAAACTGTTGTTTTGAGGAGAAGCTACATTTTGAGGGAGTTGAGGAGGGTATGAATGTCCCAACACTTAACGTTGAGCTTTAGAAACTTTAAAAATAGTCCACTGGCGTTTTTGAAAATTGCCATCTTGTGCTGGATGACATCCAATACAAGTGTGTGCTTTTTTACCACTTGACATCAGTTATCACTCAGTTGTTGAATAATAAAATTGTGCTTACCTTTTTTTTTTTTTTTTTTGTTCCAATTATTATTTTTTAAAATTTTGTTTGTTTGTTGGTAACCGTAAATGCATGTAACTTACGTATTAAATCAGTATCTTCATTGTCCTTCCAGGTCCTGCAGAATCTCTGTTTCAAGAATCATACTATGAACTCATGAAAAAAGCACTTAAACCAGATGGATTATTATGCTGCCAAGGTACTTAACACTTACTGTTTTGTTTTGATATAATTTTTCGGCCGCCTTACTGTATGTTGGTGCACATGTGCGTTATCATTAAGACTGCAATCGTGGGATCTCGTGTACTATACGAAGCCTCTCTATACAATGTATACCAAAAACATTTACCCGTAGTCCATAGTAAAGAAAGATGTTTCTTCGCCTTTCCTCGATTCCCAACGGGGAGATGCTCTACCACAGAGCCACTGAGACTCTGTGGTGAGATACATGTACAGATGTAGGCCATGACTGGGAATGTGGTAACATTTTAAGCTCAGTAATGAAATAAAGAACGAAGAATCTTCTTGTCAAGAGCGTGGGGACATAGATAGTTGGTAGACATATTTAAGGAGAAATTCGAACGTCGACTTAGGCTGGATGTCGGCCGAAACACACTAGTAACAGCGAGCAACTGTGCCATAGGGTACAGCTTCAAAGTGATGCTAATTGTCATTCACCCTAAAAGCATCGGAAACGTGCTGACTAGCTCAGTTTTGATAGGGAATCCATGGTGAAAAAGACGAATAAATATTCATCAACACCTATTTACCTTTGACAACGGTTCATTCGCTCTAAGCATAATAATCTCTTTTGACGCAGATTTCAAAAGTTAGTGTCGAGATTCAATCATGTTTAAAAGCATAACGGTACTTTTTTCTTTTTCTTTAATTTAATTACGATTTAATGGCTACTATCTGTAAAAGATTCCTCAACCTCCAGACTATCAAAAAGGTAATAGGTAAGATTATAACAATATAACATCCTCTCATATTCCAACACTTAAATAGGATCATACTAACGTTTGCGTACGTTTTACGCCCAAAGCAGTGAAACTAAGCACCGCTGATAATTTATTCTCACAGGTGAATGTATATGGCTTCATATCCCTTTAATCAAGTCAGTCTTGGATTTCTGTAGAAGATTATTTCCTTCAGTCAGTTATGGTTACACGACAATACCAACATATCCCAGTGGACAGATAGGATTCATACTGTGCAGCAAAAATAAGGTTGGTAACACCTCGTGACAGACTTCGACATCAGTTTTTTATTAAGCTGGTGGTTGATGGAATTCGATAAATAGGGAGAAAAAATTGGGTGTGCTAAAACGAAGTCTCTGGTAACCGAAACTTAAGGGGGAGAGGGTTGATAATACTATTCACGTAGTGCGGTATTACTTATGCATTGGGTGCAGAAGGTATGAGCAGAATATTAGTGGGAGTTATTTTAAGGTAGTATATTCAGGTAATAACGAAAAAGTGTGCGAGGAATGAGGTTGTAACATATATATCTCATTGCACTTTAGGAAACTAAGTTTGATAATCCAGTTACTGAGTTTACTGAGGACCAACTTGAGAAGTTCCAGCTGAGGTACTACAATGCTGACGTTCACAGAACCGCTTTTGTTTTACCACAGTTTGCAAAAAAGGTTCGTACCCAGGCTTCCTGTTTTTCTCCTTTTCTCTTTCCTGTTTTTCTTCTTAGCCAGCAAACACCAGTTTGAAAGTTTAGTAAATGGATTTTTCTGTCTCAATTTTTTAGGCGCTTTCGATATGACACCCACACGACGATAATGGTATTGTTGTTCCATTACGTCTCTCTCTGCGGGATACACTAGCGACAGATAACAGTGACCAAGATAATTACATAACCCGGTCAATAAGAGAAAATACAGTGCAGCTTAAATATAACGAGACTAAGCGATAAGGAGACAACAAGTTACTCATGAGTTCTACTTCCCCAGTCGAGAAAGGGTGGAGACCAGGAGCCCATACTAATATATTTTGCTTGTCACTTTTTTCTCCTTGGTTGCTCTTTCCTCAAAGGAAAAATAAAGTTTATTATTATAGTATTTATATAATTTAGTTGCCTTACCTGTAATAAACATGAAATTGATTAAATTGGTAAGTGCCCTTAGCTTCAATTCATCAGTGTCGTCATACTTACGAACTATTTGCAATTGAGTGAAAGTGAATTTTCAGATATTTAAATCTATCGTATCTAGTTGGTAATTGAGGGTATTATTAGCAAACTCCTGCGCGTCCCTCGTGTCCCACTCTAAGTGCGATTCGTAAGGTATAGATTTACTTGGGGTCCTTTATTACTGGGACAATGTTTGCAAGCAGCTCTAGACTCTTTGGTCATCAAACTGTTCATCTTATGAATATTATTTTTCGTAGTGCAAGATAGAGCGGTATGTGTGCATGTTCAAGTATTAACTAATATCTACGAGAAACCAAATTGATGGTCCATAATCGAGGATATACCTCAAATAATAATCCCTTATTTTTAAGCTGTACGTCTTTTACGTTAAGTCTTCGGTTAAAATTAATTTAAGGCGAGAGAGCGTTTTGTGGTTGTTAAAAAGGGACATGTTGTTTGTTCATGAAATCGTATCAGAGAAACACTGAAAAGTGAACATCCCACGCAGTGAGCAGATTCGTAGGCATTTGTTTCCCCCCGTAAGTTTCAAAAGTATTTGAAGGATATTAAAGAAAATAGGCTCCATTTAGCGAAACATGCTTTTCGTTCACTAGTTTACTCGTGTTTGCGGGAAACCTTTGGAAACACACTCGCTACCATTATTCATACAAATTACCACTTGAAACCTGATAGATTAATCGTCTGCTTG